ATATGGCAGGCATGAAAAAATATTCACATTTCCAGGATTAAATTTCGAAGAATATATCAAGAATATTTTCCACTCAAAAATCATGCACGATTTCTGAAGGTTGTACACTTTTTTATGCCTGACATGATGTGGCCAAGTGGCTAAAATACTGGTGGACTCTAAATACAGTATTTGCAATGATCTTGTCTACACTGTTTTCTCTGTAAAACTTTTTTTAATGATCCCATAGGGCTCTCGATCTCCCCATGTCATACGGGTTCTCTATAACGAAATTCCCTCTACAACGATTTTTTATTTTCTGCTCCCTCGAGGCATCGAATTTCTTTGTAGAGAGAGTCCACCTGTTGTATAATCAAATGGAGGTGTAGGATGAGGCGCATGATTCAGGACATTCTCTGCTCTTCTGGGTGAAAGTGATAGATATTGTGGATATATTTTGACTTCACCATACAGTATTCAACTCCTTTTTTGCGGGAAAGCACGAGATATTCAATTAGAATTGACTCTATAATACTGTAATTAAAGTATTTGTATCTCATGCAGGGAACATTTATCAGCATACAATTTATGGAATGACTACCTTGCCAATAAGTCATGCCTCCCCGACTCAAATTTCCAACTGATCCCTAGCCAATTCCTACATAGACCCAATGTAAATTAAGCATGCCTAAATAACTCAACACTTCTTGGGTCAAACCTTCCCTGCTGATCGATTTGTATTAAGGCCATTTTCTTTTATTGATAGTAGAGGTTAAATTTCGAACACTTTCTCCAGAAAACTACCAAAACATTTCACCGAGAAAAACTCCGCAGAAGATTATATGCATCTTTACTTCTGTGCATTGCACATCAATGAATTATTATGATAAATTTTATTATTTCAGCTGAAAATGATTTGTCATCGTCGGTTAACCCATCCTAATCTAACTAAATTCTCTATCTCGAAAACCCTGTAGAGTTTTTTTTTAGTCCCTTGAAATTCGACTTATTTCATTCGTTTCATTTATTTATTTTACTTTTATTTAACTTCGTTGATTTCTCCTGAAATTTTGCAAACGTGAATATTCCCTCGACAGAAAACCTAATTTCACTGGTCCCAGCAAGTGCCTGTATCCTTCAATGCCACCAAAATACCAGCCACACTTCATGGTAGACCTTCAGGAAGCAACTGGTTTCTCAACTGTTGGATCTTTGACACCTGGATGCTTGAGATCTGTCAACAGCAACATTATTTACATGGTGCCTGTGGAGGAAAACGCGTGTATTTCGGATACTCCAGTGTACGGGATATCCCCCAGGAAAATGCGAATCAATTCTAGAGATGTATACTGGCATTGACAAAGAAAAATAAGGACTTTCTCGATCTATATTTCTCAGTTGCGATTAAAATCTAATGGTGCTCGTGTTTACAAGCTTTTCGTTTAGTGGGTTGCTGCTGGACGCACGAAGAATTGCGACCACGAAAAAATGTATCACGCGCAAAACCTCACGTATGAGCACTGAAAAACATCATCAACTTGATCTCTACATTTATTTTTGAAAGCAGAAAACGGTTTACAGTCCCTTCTTGAAGCTGGCCCATCAAGTAGATTTGTCTGTCCGTGCAGACAACATCAGCTTCTCGCTTCCCCGCAAATGATGCACTTTTTTCATTTTAGAATCTCAAAATCTGACAAATGATGGTTACATTTTGCAGTTTCCACATCAAGCAGAAAAATAATCGTAATTTACAAAACCTGGGCTTTTTTATTTTTTTTTCTGTAGTGTGCCAATCGTCAAGCAACAACCTTCAGGAATTTTGCAACCCTCCTTCGGCAAGAGTCAGGGGGTGTATGGTAAACTTTCGCACTACATGTATTGACGAAGCAAAGTCATTACAGTATTATGATGAAACGCATAAATAAATAATGGTGCATGTCCTCAGCTCAAGTCGATTCTCAAAATGTATGCGTATTTTTAAAAGTCCGATTCACTCACTTCATTGTTCATAAAAAGTTTCAGATTTCAAATTGTTCTCCAGTCAGGTTCAATCACTCATTAAAAATCTTGCTTATTTTAGCCCTGAGCAAAATATCTCGGAATAGAGATCGAAACGGCATATGATTGAGCTGAAAAACAATTATCGTGCAGAAAAAAATTGTCTGCCAAAAGGAAAAAATCAGAACCATTTGAAATATTTCTGGGAAATTTTTGGGGCATGCATCAACAAAATCTGCAAGACGGGCGCCTCATCTTTTGAGTGACGAGCAGAAAGCGCCAGGGTGACTTTTGCAAAAATATTCCAAAAATATATAAACCGGGCCGAATTTGTTTGCGTGCCAAAGAAATTTTTTAAACTTTCCTGCTAAAACTTCTATAACTCGAATTTCCGAAGGGCTTCGGGCTTATTATTCCGGAGACCAAGAAAATAGATAAGCAATAAAAATATAACTTGCTGCTTTTCAAAAGAAAGTGACCAACTTATAGGGCAAATGTTCTCGTGTCTCCAATTTAAGCAATTAATCCTGTCAATTAATATACCTGGCTATTTCAGGCTCAGAAGATGACCAGTTTTACCCTCCTGTAATTTTTTCATTTATTCCCACCAAAAATGGTTTCCCCAACTTACCTTACTCTGCGAGGTAACAAGTGCATACCACGATTCGAAAAGCAGGTTTACCTGACTAAAAGAGAAAGAGGAAACGTGAGATTTGAACAATTTTTCCGCAAAGAAAATAAACGAGAATGAATCCATGCAATGATGAGCTTCGTCCTCCACAACTGCTGTTGGAAAAAAAATGAAAGAAAAATCCGAGTGTTTCAGAAAAAAAGAGGCGGAATCCCCGCACTTTAACATTTCCCGAAATCTCCCTCTCAAGCGAGGAATGCCCGTCTGTGAAGATTAACTGTGACTCCCGATAAGAAAAAATGAATCTCGAACGGCGGATCTGACAAGAGGAGGAGCCCAGCTTTTTAACAGCAGCGGAACTGTGCAAAATGTCGAGGAGCCGCAATAAGACGATACTCGACTTCAACACACAAAAAAGAAAAGCCGCCCTTCTTACGTCTGGACAGATCGAAACGTTCTCGCTTTAAAATCTGCGCTGCTTTCTTATGAAAACTGAAGGGAACACGCCATGGACTTACTTGCAAAATGTCTTCTTCTTTTGCAAAAAAAAAATTCAAGGGAGAACGGGGGGAATTGCTTGAGAACACAACGCGCCGTCGACGAGATCCTCGCAGTCCGACAAGCGGCAACGCAGGCAAAACTGCTAAAATACTTCTTTACACCAGCAAAAATATACTCGTGCCGACTTCGACATCGGAAAACCCAGGCGAGGGGAACCCAAAGCTCAACTTTGTACCCGTTGGCTTTTCAAATGGAAAAAGAAAAAAAGGACGAAGGTTACAAACAGAGGGAAAAACACCGTTCGGAGATGCAAAACAACGTTTTCACGAGACGTGGGAATGGACACGATGGTTTTCAAAACAAACAAAAAACCTTTGGGACGAGAGCAAAGAATAAGGTCAAGGTTCTCAGTTTCATCAGCCCAATACATCACTCATATTCTGGGTGAAGCATTCTTCTGGTAAACCCAGGAATTCATTGGCTCGTTTGCTCCACCGAAACCCGCTCATGCAAACACTCAATTAATCTCGAAGAAATGTTTCTTTCGATCAAGTAATTCAAATTATTCTTCAAAGCTAAGCTTTGGAATGAGTTTTCAAAACAACATTTGCTGAAAATAGATTTACCTCTAACGTCGGATCACGTTTCCTCAACAAATTCAAAGAAAAGTCAAGCGGTATTTTCAGCATCTCCTCCATTCTTTAATTCCCCGGAGGATTCGTTGTGGTGGAATTTGTAAGCGTTACAATATTTTTAACGCATTTCCAGTATTGCTTTTCTTCGTAAATTGTAACTCATCTTCAGAAGAGACTATGAGGAACCAAGAAATAAATGACCAGTTTCACGGAAATGTCCACATTCAAATACCGTGTTTCCCCAAAATATTTTATTTTCATATGAATACGAAATATTTGAGTAAATTTCGATTTAACACGAAGAAGATAAGGCATCACGAAAGCAATTTTGAAGATGATATCGACTTAATATGCCTTCCATACGACGAATTTTTGTGAGTCCTCCACAAATTTGTCATAATGGCATTCTACCGAACGTACATTACTTCTGCAGAAATTGGAGGCACAAAAATACCTAAATCCAGCTACCAACATTCACAGTTTTAGAGATTTTGCTTCCAAAAATCGGAATATCGGACCAATAGTTTTCAGCTCACCGATTGACAAGTCCAGAAAAACAGCCTAAGGGTTTTCTTTTTTCGGAGAAAATTAGCAAGAAATTTGTTGCATATTTGAGGAAACACGGCAGTTGGAGATGTGCTCAAAAAAAGTCCCGATGAAAGCCGCGGCACCCATGAAAACACATAGGATGCAGGAACTCTGTGTACAACAGCATGGTATTGCGATGAATCACGTTAACGTTCGACTCGAAGCTTAACTAACCAACGAAGACGGCGTTCACCAGAGAAGCTGGCCCTTCGAATCGTGAACTCCTGCGAGGCTAAAACCGAGACGCAGAACCGAGAGAGAGAGTGAGAAGAATAAAAAGTATCATATCAGCCGCCAGGAGAAGTCTTCATCTCAATCCGTCTTCCCACGACGGACTTTGGAGGCGTTGGCACTATGCCGCGCTCGTCGCTTCTTCTCCTTATTCTTGGATTCGAGCTCCCGGTAGAGCTTCATGGACGCAATGAGCGAGACAATGAGGAACGGGCTGAGGCACAAGATGACGTAGTAAACGAAGTCCCACGGGTTCTGGGCCGCATACACGACCACCCAGGCTGCGTAGCCGCGCCAAGAGTTCTCGTTGGCGAGCTCAGTCAGGTTCGGCCGCGAGGATTCGTTCATTTCCTCGGGCATCTTCACTTCCTCCGCCATTTCCGACAGATCGCGATCACGCACAGTCAGAAAAACAAATTTTCCCGGCTATATCTTTTGTTGAAACTACCAAAGGGGCGTCTGTGTGAGAAGGATAAAACCGTCACGATTGAGCGCTAAGCAACTTATCACGATATCCGCACTCGAGTTCGTCGCAATAAATCGATTTTCAGGACCAATATATTTCGACAGACACGGAATATTTTCCCCCCAAAGATGTAAGTCGCAAAATAAGCTCTGGCGCACATCTCACAGCACCACTCGGAATTGAAGCTTTCCAACCAGCATGATAGTAAGACCAAACTTTCAACAACAAAAATTTCAAAGCTGGTGTCGAAACTAACCTTCACACCGACGCACAACGTTCGAATATTTCAATTAAATCGGATTTATTATATCTGACAGAAAATGTTTAATTTGAGCTAGATCAGCACAAAAGTTATCAATATTGCGAACCTGACTTCGGGTTTCAATTAAACTCAACTTCAAAAATTCAATAATCACACGTCAATCGATTTTTTAGGTTTTCAGACCAACATAATCGAATAAATTTTGCATTTACATGACCAACTAAATAACATCCAATGATGAGCTCTAGTGCCTTTCTGACCAATCACAAAACTAAGAACATTTAACTTCCAGGAAACTACTTATGATTTTTTTTTCCTCAAGAAGATCGAAAAAACTAAGGGTGATGAATTACGAAGTCGGCCAAGCTTCTTAGTCCCTGTGTCCTGACAAAAGTATTGTACAAGAGATTAAAACATGAACAATACTATACAACACAGACATTTCAAACAAGAAAATGCCTCGTCCCACAAAATGAACGCTTCGGAACAATCGAGCTTCATGGCAGTCACACCTCCGACATGTTCAGTCACGATTACGGGTGCGACTTGTGAGGTCACGACGAAGAAACACGAACTCCTCAACGCCTCCACGAACAAAATACCCAGAAACGTAGTTTTGGAAAAGAACACAGGAAACGAACCCTGTACACGGAAGAGATCTCTGTTTCTGGAATTCAAGCTTCCCAGGTTGGCGTCGTCTTCAGAACATCAATCAAAGCCTTCTCCTGGTGAACAAAATGCACCGGGATTAAAAATCGGGAACAAGAAATCAAGATCGGAACGAACCTGGTCCGCGTGAGCCTTTGTCAAATTACGAAGCTTGAAAACGTGAATCCGTCCGCAAACGTCTCCGAGAACCAAGCACTGTTGAATGCAGCATGTGCAATTATTCAACGATAAATTCAATTTGGATTCTCAGGATTATTACGAGTTTATTGAGAGAAAGGCGTGAATGATGTAAAATTGTAAATTAATGTGGTTTTGTCATCAACATTGATTTCTTCTGTGCTGACAGGAACGCCTGATAATTTCTTCACAATCATTAGAACATACAGTACATAGATGTATTCATAAGTGAGCTTACTCATAGAAAAAAAATCTTCACTAAGAATACCCAACTTATCTGCAGAGCTCGATTCGTTCGCGAATATATCCCTGATTAAGCTATGTTCCTAAACTCCAAATGAGTTTACAAAAAAATATGTATACACATACTTTGCTAAGTTTTATTCATGAAATCCCAAATATCAAAATTAAAAAGGATTTTCATTTAACCAAACCCGACACGTTTTACAGAAAACAAGAATATACACTCACATTGTTAGTTGGAGCAAATGCAATGCATGAAAAATGACCCCGCTCTAATGATGGCAGGGATACGATTGGGCGCAAAAGATCGGCTTTAATATCCCATATCTGAGGGCCATCTTTAGTGATGAGTCCGAACGTTGTTGAACAAACTTTACTCCAGTCGCATCCTATGACAGGTTTCTAAAGAATTTCGAAAGAAATCATCGATCAGAAAAATATATTTTCCGATGCAAAAAAAGCGAACATTCATTACATCCACAAAGAAGACGTCTGATGAATTAAAAAAATATAGAATGAACGTTTTGAAAAATTGTAATAAAGCTCAAGAAAGCACAATCTTTGAAGAAAAGCGTTTTTTCTTTCTTTCGTTTTTTTCACTTGAAACAAAAAATCCTTCATTTGCAATTGGAAATATTACATTTAAATTGGAACATCAGAGCATCTCTGCAATCAAAGGAGGGCATCTTACTTGCACATCAATATCAACAAGAGCTTTGGCATAATCCAAATGCCAAATTTTCACGGTCCAGTCTTCAGCGCAAGTCATGAACACTTTGCTGACGAACGGGTTCCATTTGAGCCTATACACGCATCTCGTATGCGCTTCAAATATCTTGGAGATTCGATCAGGTTTGACTGAAAACAAAATTACAATACTTGGGTTTAAATATATTCATCCAAATTTCCAAGTGAAATTTGAAAACCAACCGATGTCGAAAGCTCGAATTTCTCCAGTATATGTTCCTACGATCAGAGTGCCACCAGCCACCTGACTTAAAGCGAAGCAAAACCCAGCAATATTGTCAGTTGTTAAAGGGATGACGTTCATCGAATGACTGCAGGTCCATCGCCTCTTCAACTTGATCAAACCTGAAACACAAACCATCACGAATAACCTGGATTTCACGAAGAACTCCTTCAAACCCACTGGTTCCCTCCAACGTCTTTCTGCCCTTGACGTAGTGCCACTGGATCACCAGTCCATCTTCGGCAACAGACAACAGGTGTTCCCTTACGGTTGATTTTCCCGTTTCGCTGATGCTAATGGCTGGCATTGGAACCCATGCAACCTGCCACACTGGGCCTGAGTGACTCAGGTGTCCTCCAAGCTCACTGTATATTGAAACACCCAACATAAGTACTGTACCAATACGATACCTTCATAAAATAATCCCAAAAATTGTTATAACACATATTCTACAAAAATACGCCGTTTTAAGCGTTTAGAAAATGTTCTGTGCAATATTTTGAATGGTGGCACGTCAACATTACAAGTTTCCTTCCGATATTCGAACTACAGTATTAGCAAATACAATTCAAGCTTCTTTTTTTTTGCCACTCATCTTTTGCCCCTAAAAAACGGAATTAAAACTGTTTATCACGTAATAGTGGAATATACCTTGAAAATATGACTTACCATTGAAGCAAGACAATTTTTTTGGGAACAAAGAACAGCATACCTTACTCCATTCTATAATTAATAACAGCAATCGAACTCTTCAACGCATGTAAAATATAATCTGAAGACCACACTTCTCCACCATGGCAGAAGAAACCGAGGCCCTTTCCATCAAAAGAAAACGCCGACTCATCCCAGGATGCAGACAAAAATAATATTTGAAAATCGTGCTTAATCGGTACACTCGCCTTGACTCGTGCATTGGCGAGACACTGGTCGACGCCACATCGTACAAAGCAACTGCTCCACTGTACAAACCGACAGCCAGAATATTCGGTTGATCGCGAGAGAAGTCAACGGACAAAGCGCCGCTTCGAGTGACGTAGCATCTTTCTGGGTCCCTCGGATTTTTTACAGTCCATGCACACACCAGACCCGGCTCGTACTCGTCGAATTCGGGGTGACAATAACTCGCCACCAGAAGATGCTGTGACGAAGCATGATTCATCGTAATGAAGAGCATTCACGCATAGAATCATTCACTTCGGATCGGAAACGTCATGAGGACACGTTAAAGTAATACACAAACATAGAAAAAATTGCATCGTCGAAAACACGAAATTTAAAGAATAAAAATCAAGAATTTGTCATTTATTCCGATCAAGTCAATACAGTACAGTGATTAAATAAGGATGCAAACGTTAAATTTGTACTTTATTCCCAGATACTCGATCTCGATCCCGTTAAATACTATTTGATTAGACCGAAAGTTGTGGTCGCGATTTTCCTGTGATCATCCTACGTTATAACTGATTTTTTCTTTCTTCTTTTTCTCACGCGAATTTTTTTTTTTTTTTTTTTGCTACCATTGCAGTAAACAAAAATTGAAGCTACAGTATTATTACGTAAAGTGAGCAGTAAGCAATTTTTTACCCATAGCCCCCGTGCGTGCGAAAAAACATTAATATTTTCAGTGCTTAATAAAATTTGCAAAATCTCGAAGTCTCAAGAATTCTTCCGAATATTTTTGTCCACTTCTTTCCACACACCTTCAACAGGACTTTCGACCTATAATTTGAATTCAGATGCAAAAACTGACCGGATTTGCTGTGTTATGAGCGACATCAGTGACAGAACGACTCTTGGACGATCGTGGCTTAGTCGGCAAAGCGCAATCAACTGGTCGAGTCGTCGTTTCGCACTCAAAACTCCATAAAAATTCCAACGATGGCAGCGAATATTCAGACAAACCACTCCGTTTTGACTTGAACCTGGCTTCCCACAAAATTCCAGAACCAGGAAAGATCACGGGATCGAGTTTCAACTCTTTTCGCGTCCAGCGATCCCGATACACTCCGAGCTGAATCCAGAATTGATTCAGGCTAACGTAACGCTCCGTGATTAGCAATAGTTCTACTAGGCGAACGGGATGTAGAAGTTCTTCATCTGGCGGTAGCGCAGATGATGACGAAATCGAAGCAACGCTTTGAGCTCTCTCTGAATCACAGCCAAAACGAAATCGTCAGTTTTTGACTCGAGTTCCCTTAATTTAAACAAAGAAAAGGATAAGCTTACGACTGCTGGCACTTTCTGTCAACTCGGACAGGCGGGATGAACCGTTTTCTTCATTTTCCGGAAGAAGTGAGGAGAACATCGTCAATTTCTCCGACGGAGAACTTCTAAGGTATTCTTGCAAAGCCATAAATTCGTCGAACATGTCCCAAGAAGTAGCTTGACAAACAATCGACTGACGCAAAATGAAACGATAAAACATTTTGTACAGTACAGTACTTCTATATAATGTACATACTGTATTTTCGTCTTCATTACCTGTCTCCGGATAGCGCTTGTTTGCGTCGACTTCGGTTTCCGCCACTCTTCGCGCGTCTCTGTCCAATGATCTTTGAATCTCTCCGGGTATTTTTTCTTTCTTTCCAAAGCCTTAGAACATTGAAAATTGATAGAATCGTCCACTTCATACGAAAAACTCGGCAAATATAGCACTTTTTACTTTAAGGTAGGTCTCGTTTCTGCCGACAACAGCGACTCCTTCAGCAGAATTCACCAGAACAGCGGTCCCAGAAAGATCCAGAAGGAAATCAGTACTCGTTTCCTAATTGGTACGATAAAATAAGAAATCCCCGCGCTAATAATGAACAATCCAAAAAATACCTGTAAGTAAACGACGATTTCATCCGATCCAGCTCGGCTTCCGAAATCCAAGGGACTTGGCGCAGGAAAAGCTGTGCATTACACGCATTACTTCCAAATACGTTGCGGACTCCGATAAGACTACTGTGGGTGTGCGGAACAAAAGCATAACCGGACGAAGTGCAGAATTAAGAGTGGTCACAACGAACGAAAAACAATTGAATGGAAAATATCTCCATCGCCCAAGCATTTCACTGAGAGACTACATAATTGTCGAAGACTTAACTAAGCAAAACAAACATCATCAATACAGTACATACCCTCAAAACCTCCGAACGCGGAAAGGGATGCGGATTCCGCGCCAAACCCAAAGCTTGAGATAACTGAGGCAGGACGAGATATTTCAGACGGCAATGGTGCCGGAAATTCGTTTGTCCAGTCCAGAAAATCATCAAATTTCCCATTGCGATCAATCAAAATTGCCACTCCCTCATCCACAAGTGACACAGGATACTCATGATCCAATTCTTCCATTATTCACACGAAATAATAGAAGAGCTCTGCCGAAAGCAATATATCAAGACAACAATTTCGCACCCGACATTAATGAATTGAAATGATTGGCAACAACGTATTACATCGCAAATCACAAATATATGACGCCAACCGACTTTGCTCTGATATGGGGAATGACGAAAGCCGCCAGATTAAAAGAAAACAGACGTTGTGGCTTTTCATTCTTCAACACGACGGGAACGGTCTGCAATAAATATTCCATCGTGATTTTGTAAAATAACTCGCTACAAAATTACTAAACTCACTTATTAAATTTTGCGAGAGCTTCCGCCATTCTAAAACGAGTTAAAAAAGTAGCAATAATTTCAGCCACGTTTTCTGGCTTATCTTCGTGCACCACGTGTCCAACGTGCGGTAGAACCTGCATTTGGAATTTTCCTGTGACACAAGAATCATTTTTAAATTGCAGCAGGGCAGTCGTGAATCGTAATTTTCAGCAAACCTTGCATTTGACCCACTGTCATCTTTTTATCCAGTCGATCGATGCCAGCGAGAATCAATAACTTTGGAATAGGACAATCCAAAAATATATCCGACAAGTTCTCGAACCATCCATGCCAATACTTTTCGGTCGTCGACAGGTCAATTCTCCATTTGAAACAATGCCCAGCAGGACTCTGCAACAATAAATTATGCTTACATTGGGCAATTCTGGCGGTTCAGTGAGATTCAGAACCCTGGAATACTGTGATTAAAATTAAGCTGAAAGAATGTCACAATTTTATGATATTTTGGATATCTGGTCAATGAGTGATCAAGAGTGCAGCAGCTTAATTTAAGAAATGCCTCACTTTTTCAATTTTATCCTGAACTGATCCATCAGCTGAAGGAGAAAGTTCTTCGTCTTCGGCAATCGCTTCAACACTGCTCGCCAAATTAAAATGCTCCATGGTTTCATTAGAGTCAGGACTCGCCAACACTTCTGATCCCGTTATTTCGGCAGCACAGAGTTTCCCAGTTTCAAGGCTGATGTCAGAAAAGAAATAATACGGTCAAAATGACGGATAAATAAATTGAAAAACCTACTTAATGATTTGTCCGGGCATGCTGACACAGGCGGATTCCCAATTGCGCACTTGCCCGGTTGTAATGCTTTAACAAAATACAGAGAATACTGTATTGAAATACGTATTACAGAAATTTTTCTCGCCTGGATCCAAATGCGGAATGCAATCGTCAGAAAGTTCTCACCACCACTTGATGGCATGTTCGATCGATGAAAATGTTTTGGGGCGAGACTGCAAGACGCTATGCATCGAAGAAAGAGCCTCCAATGCAGATCCCTCAACGATGTCAATCAACGCCAACCCAGCAAGTGACGGTATCAGTTTTTCGTGGGCCACGTGGACCGCAATCGCGCCGCCCATACTGTGTCCCATAAGTATTATGGGATCGCTGGGATCTCCATGTTTCGCGAGAAAGTTATTCACAACCTCCCCAACATCTCTGCATGGAACCAAACAATACTTCAATATCAAAAGGTATCTTCAAAATATATGGACACACTATCTGTTTAATGATTAGTTTGATATCTATCGCATAAATTCTTCCTGATTTTATTTTAAAATCGTGAATACACGTACATAGTCGAAACTTCCCCGATAATTTTTCGAATTGTACCTCTAAAAAACTCTTGATACCTAAAATAATTATTTGCTGTACACGAGGAAAATCTATTTCTTTCAAACAGAATTTGATTTATCATGAAAGACACGTGAATTATTGCAATTGTTCTTACTAGAAACCCTCATTGAACTGTTGTGCCATTGGCAAAATGCATCCAGCGAAAACTGGAAAAACTGGTTTCATCATGACGCTGACAAAGTCCCAAAATATGTACATAAAAAAGAGTTCCTCAGATTCAGTTACTGCGTGCCAAGTATTTTGGGAGAAACGACAATAGGAATGAAAAACACGAGAGAGCATCTCGTAAACATATTTTTTGGGGGAAAGGTACAGCTCAAATGAAAAAAATAATACTAATAATTTTCTTACCCAGCAAGAAAATCCATGGACATATCTTCTTCGTTCGTAACAGTAGTTTCACCGTGCCCACGAAGATCCATGGACATGACTCTGCATTCCACCATGTCCCGAACACTTTTCTGCAAAAAAAATAATCGGGTGAGATGAAAGCAAACAATATATTTAAATATCCCTTACAGAAAAACATGCCCACGAAAGGGCCGAAAAGCCTCCACCGTGTAGTGTTACGACCCACGGACCAGATGATCCGCCGAAGTAAACTCGAAAATTGCCACTTTTTGTTTCGATCATTTCTGAGGATTCAAAATAGGATTTCCAATGTATGGGATGCATGTCTCCGTGTTTCTTCCTCGAAGCACGAGCGCTGCGGACGACGAAAGGAAACTCAATTACTGCATACAAGTTTGAAATCAGTATTTGACAGAAAAGCTCACCCAGGCGGTGGCATCCCCAGTGGCGGTAAATGGCGCCCCATGGCGACTCTTTGGAGAGGTGACGCCATCTCAAGTTACGCGGAAAAAGGCGGACATCAATTCTTCTCACTGATAAACGCGCACGTTATTTCCGGAATACGATTGGAAACGTGAAAAAGGACTTCTCTCCAAGTAAAAACAGAAAATGTCGACAGGTAAAATGGAGTTTCGCTCTATTTCCTCTACTTGAATCACGCGAAAGTTTTTCACAGCATTAACTTCACTCTTCGGGAAAAATAGTAAGAGTCATGATGGCAGCTTTCCGACATAAAGTCATCGTCAGCTTCGACGACTTCTCCAGCATTTCGTAAACATCCACGGCAGACCGGATCGGTTTTCCATTTATGTGCGTCACTATGTCGCCTAAAGGAGAAAAAATTCTCGTATGAAACACTTAAGACAGTACAAATTCAAATTACCTAATTTCTGTCCAATTTTGACTCATAGAATGTTCTTTATAATCCCCACCATCGGACTTCATCTTAGATATCGACACTTCTCAGTTAAACAGTATACTGTACAGCTTTTACTTCCTCCAAATTCTTTGAAACCTCTTCCTCTTTCTTCAATAATGCTCAGCCTTGCTTCTCGGAATGTTAGCCAGGTATTGAATAGATTGAAAAAAAAAATGAGGCAAACAGAATCACTGAAGTCACTGAGGTCCAGTGTTCAAGAGTAAAGTAGTCTAAATTCCTTTCAGCACGAGAAAAAAAAATCAACAAGCTGAGTTACTCACCAGGCAATAATCCCCCGGAATGCGCAGGGGATCCAACCACTACCCGCCAGACCAAGACACCGTGGTTAATATTCGGACAGATCTCAGGACCTCCCTTCTGCTGCATTTCCGAAATTAGCCCTGGATTCAAAGTCAACATCGTAATTCCCATGTAGCGCCTTCCACCTCCTCCAAACGACGGCAATTTAGGACCTGAACATTTTTGGAAAGTTCAGCCATTGTTGCAAGCGATGTTTTGAAAAAAGTCAACAGCACACTCACGTCCTTTCTTCCGCGCTTCACTAGCTTTAATAAATTCCATGGCGTAATCGGCAGGAATGGCGAACGAGATCCCAGCAGTGACCTTCATGGCATTGATGCCGATTGCTTCACCATCCAGATTAATCAATGGGCCACCACTGTTCCCAAATGTGATCGCCGCGTCTGTTTGAATATATTCCATGTCTTTGTTAATCAGACCAAGTTCTTTGCTGCCTCGGTTCACAGAGGACACGACTCCTGCTGTGATGGTGTTGCTCAACGTTAAGGGGGAACCCATTGCTACGACCCATTCGCCAGGACGTACCTTGAACAAAACACAAATGCAGATGATACATTTCTTTTTTTCCTAAAAAAAAATGTCAACTTGATGACAACATACCGCCGACCAACACGAGATAACAAATTATCTAGTTTCAGCGCGAAGTAAATTACTTCAAGTATATCTTGATACGGTATTGTGCAATCATCCGATCAACATCAAGAATCATACTTTATTACCGTGGATATGCCAACACGAAAACCAGAAAAGCAAAACTGTGCCTCAATTTATGTTCCTACTCCATGGATGCGATTTTGCAGCCATGATGATTCTCTTCAAAATATGCATGATACCGACTGCAAAAAAAATAATAACAATTTTAAGTGAAGTGATGTGATGAATGGGATATCTACTGCTATCCCATTCATCATAATTTAAAGTAGCTTGAAACCAGAAAATTAAACATTTTCGAAGCATATTAGATACTGTACACTGTATATTGGCTGATTATACTCCTGACTTCACGCGGGAATCGGAAGATCCTTGATCATTTGATCAACTTACTTGATTAGAACTTCCAAGACGCAACGTCGGCAAATTCTTGAAAGGAATCTTGACTAGGGCCAGATCAGAGTGCATGTCCACATCTTCGACTTGCCCAATCGTCTCGCGACCATCAAAAAGCTTCACCTTAACGGAATTGCTCGGTTTGTTGATCACCACGTGGGCGTTTGTCAAAATAAGTCCATCGGAATTGATTATGAAGCCAGATCCGTTTGAAGCGGTCATCGGCTGGCCGGTGAAGAAATCTACTCTTTTACTATCTTGGATCTCAATGTACACAACCGCGGGAGCAGTTTTCTCCACAACATCCGCAATGAAGTTGAAGTGCTTCTTTCTGGGTGTGTCCTTTCCACTTAGGGTTAATGCGTCGTCTTCACTGATTGGATTCGCTGCAGAAACTGAACCAAAAAGTTGTTCACGCGTTACATAGGCGATTGCAGCTGCTCCCAATAAGGAAAAAGACTTCCAGGTTATCCACGAGCTTCTTTCCCCGTGGTCCCGAAGGGGTCGATTGAATATCAGATGGAAAGCAGCAGAATTCTTTGACAGCAATTTTAAAGCTTGACTCGACTGAGACTTCAATCTCAGTACCCTAAGCAAAGTTCTCATTTTGAGCTTTGAAAAAAGATTTTCGATAAACGCTCCTTATTCGTAAGTTTTTGTGGAAGTTTCGTATTCAATTATCCTCAGCTTCTTGTCGACTTCAACGACCATCTTGTTCAACTCGTTCAGCTAGAGAGAAAAAAGGTTAACCAAAAATAAGCATAATTTTTCGCTTCAATACGGCCATTTGAAACTTACCAAATCATTGGTGGTGGAATAGATTTCGTAGTATCTCTGCCTCAACTTGTTGTGCTCCAAAACTATCAATTGAAATGTAGAGGTTGAATTCTGGACTTTATCGGACGAAGTTGCGAGTTCTAGAACGAAAAGAAGCGATTTCAATACTTCCTTGCTCTATTACACTATTCTTTCGTTATATATACGTACGAGTGATTTTGTCACTTTCGACAACTTGGGAGAGTTCAGAAACTTTGGATATCTGACCCAGCTGTTCGCAAAGAATCGGAGCCAAATTCAATACTGCAGCTTCCTTCAGTCGATTTTCTTCGTCACAAGTAGAGCGTTCCGCAATTTGCTCCAAGAAAGACGCTAAAAAGTGGGGAAAAAACATTTGTTTGAAGAAAATATGCTTTGACTTAGATACACAGTACTTCCATACAATCCTGTAAAAATAAAATGCGCGTACTCAGCTTGAGAAGGCCGTCTAATTTATCACGATATTCCAGCGACGAGGACAGCTTCTTGTTGATATGATCCAATATCTCCAACACCTTGATATTCACGCAAACGAAAAAGGATAACTATGACTACTTCGACTGCAACAAATTATGTTCACTTCGTGATTATTCACGACTCAGGACGACGTACAGTATTCGGTAATGCAGTATCCTTGCTGAGGACGCTTTTCTCAAGTGATCGTAATCTTCTTTCCAACAATTGGACCGAAACGTTGTTATTCACCGACATATTCACACAACATTTCAAGCAAACTTTTGCATAACGTCATAAATTTTCTGCGCGAAGGAATCAAACGTAAGTAAAAAAAAATTTACTTTCACAGATTTTAACTTTAAGTAGCGGGACAAGTAACGATTTCATTCTTCGAGTAATTGCACGATGTGGTCCTCTACGGCGACGACCTTATTTTTGATATACTCCTTGCTGTTAGAAGCACACGAATCCAGAAAATACCTATAAAATGGAGAATATGTGAGTCAAGGTTATTTCCAGGAGGAAGGAAATCAAGAACTCACCGGTAATTCACCATCATGGAGCAAGAATCTTCCAAACCTTTAGGTGAGGTGTCAGCTAACCAATTGATCCTCCATAGAACCGCCCCATTCCGCAGATGAAAATTTGCTAAACGCATTGAATTAAAAAATAAAAAACTTCATATTCTGTTCATGTCTCCAGATTTATGAATGATTTCTCACCAACTCTGTCAAGCGCAAATCCCCGGCGCTTTTCTTTGAACAGGTACCTTGCACACAGCCTCAGCAAGGCTGGTCTAAATAGCTCCGAATGCTCCTTCGATTTGCACCACGTTGAATTTACAATGGCATCTATGGCATTTTTCCAAAAACCCTTCGATCCAAGAACTTGATTCCACTGTTCGATTTCTGACTTCGTCAGGAGACCTTCCTCTGCCCCACGTTCCGCCTCGTGCATACGAACCAACAGCCAGGACCGGAATCCGGGAATCGGCGACAAAGTCGAGAATTTGGCAAGATGCGGGAATTCCCAGCGCAGCTGATCGACGACTTTTTTGATCAAGTGTCCTCCGAGTTCAACTCCCCGCAATCCTCGTTGCGTGGAAGATATCGAGTAAAATATCGCGGCTTCGATCTTGTTCTCGTCTTCCAGTTCATCTAACCGTTCATCTGGATGGTTAAAAAATTGGGCTAATTAAAATAGTCTCCTCCATTAATTTCAACAGAACTTGCTTCACGGCAGTGCTGCCCAACATATGTCCCGCGGGCCAGATGTGGCCCGCAGAGGCTCTTCATCCGTCCCGCGGTCTTTTCCCTATAATTTTCAAGGTGGCAGCTGCCACTTTTCAGAATATACTGTATATTAGAATATGAATCTAAAAATACAAAATGTTGCTTATGTTGCTTCCCCCTTCAAAAATTCTACAAGGAATTCAATAAATATCACTGAGATAAATTTAAAACTTTCCATTTAAAACGGAAAAATTTGGAGCCTCAAAAATTATTGTTTATTGCGGCCTGCAAAGACTTCCACATCTGCAACTTGCCGTTGGCCAACAAAAAAATTCATCAATGTGGCCATTGGCCATATCCAAGCTGGGCAGCACTGTTTTATGGAATGTCATAGCCTGGCGTAACTCAGCACATAAACAAACGTAGCCAAAAAAAAGTTTCGTAAGATTTACACACTGCTAAAAGAAATTGCGCAGTTACCAGTTAATTGAGAAGAACTTGATATAAATTCGCCTGACTACCTTGTCTGTATGCTTGAACGATCGTCTGAATAGATGATGTGATCGAAGGCATCAAGGCCACGTGAACAACGATCAAGGGCTCGCCGGGCATCGCTTGATGAGTGAAGACAAAACACCTGCGATACATTCCGAGTCTCCGTTTGAGATCAAGCCAATGGCGAACGCGGTGAACGGCTTCTCCTTCGGCAATTTTCTCCAGCAAACTGCACGAACTCTCCCAAGTAAGTCTTTCCAAAGAGAGAAATTCTCGGCCAAACCACATCGTCATCAGGTTGAACAGTACAGTATCCATTTGTCGGAGTTGTTGCGAGGATGTTAGATCGCCAGATTTGATACGTTTACTAATTTCCGCCTGTCCTTGAAAATTTCAGGACGAATTAAAATTTAAAAACCTCCGGCATTGATCATCAGATCTGAAATCCCGACATCGTACATCTTTAATACTGCATTACTAAGCAGAAGAATACTTAAAACTGTGAGGCACTTGAATTTTTAATCTTGAGAGAAAAACTTCAATGGAATATTTACAAGCAGATGCGCTCGGAAATCCACCAAAAATTTGACACCGCCCGGCAGGAAACCCACGCTGACGAAAACTTTTTTATAAGATGGATTTAAAGCAGATTCAAGCTTCTTCATCACGGGGAGAAGAGATTCTTGATTGTCATTCTGAAAAAGAGCTGTCCGTCACGAAAATGATTTCATGAAAAAAAGTCCTCTCACTTACAGAAACTCTGATGAAATCCTCACATTGTGCCTTAACTAAACTGGCATCTACTTTGAATTTACTTGCCAGCAGTAGCAAGGCATATGATTTTTCGTCTGGTTCCAATGCGTTGAAAGTCCACCGAAATTTTTCTGCCACTGCCTGAAAAAAAAAATCATTATTACAATAAATTTTTCGACGAACATATACATTCAACTCACGTCAACAGCCGAACTCGACAATGTTTGTATGGCATCCACCTCCCGAACGACATTTTCGAGAGCTGACAATGTCGGCTGTTGCGGGGAAGAATGCAAGTAGTGTCGCAGAATTGGAGAAGCAAACGCGTAATGTGATCGCGGAGAAAAATTGGAGACTCGTAAAGAGGTCAATACAACAGAACTGAATTTCTTCGCGGATAACATAACGGAACGAGATTAACTGCAGAGTTTAGATCGATTCATAAATCACACGAAAAAAATTTCATTAAGCACTGAAAATATATTGATCCAAACGAGAAATGGCTCTTGTATTGCACATTCAAGATTGCCCCGAAGAATCCAGCACCAAAAAATAAAAATAAAGCAGAAGCATTCGAGACTTCGGAAGCATTTCACCAGGAGTGGTTTTCTGCGACAAAGGTACATGTCGTCAGGCAGAGAAAATTGCGCAACATTGACATCACATCAAAACGGATTGATGATATGAGCTTAAAAGCGAAACCAAAGATTTGCGGCTCGCAGACTCAGAAATGCAACCACCGTTACGAAGCCTCCGTTTGGCTTCTGATGAAACGAAATATCTTGAAAACTCTCAAGGAGCAGGAACCAACTCAGTTTTTCCGTCCTTCGTCATCAATTGAATCAAAGACCCGGATTCAGGTCGGTCCTCGTGTTTCGTCCACTTGGCGAATACTCCGGAAACAAAATCCAACGGGGTCCAGGAACCAAAGTCGCCGTTCGGCATGAACTTACGGTTCATGGGAGTGTCTAGAGTGACGGGACAGATGGCAACGGAAATGGCATTCGCCGGAAGACCACTTTGTTTCATGGCGAGCGAACGAACAAGTTGATGAACAGATGCTTTCGCCATCCCGTACCCGATCATTCCAGGCGTGCCTTTCAATGCTGGTTGTGCTCCACAAAACGCCACCAGTCCACCTAGATTTTAGAATGCCTCATCTTTATCAAACAAATTTTCATATACATGGCTTCGGAAAGTACATGAATTCTGAACGTGTGTCCTCGTCGTTTTTTGTAAACTTCGAACCATTTGTTCGAACCGGTTACAGGTAGACCCAATAACGATTTTATTTGTATACAGTATTTGTTTTTGATCCCAATTAAAAATTATTTCCCAACAAAAAGTGGAAAAACTTGGAAGTAGAAATACCTTCTTTCAAATGGGTTCCGGCGATGTGGGCAGCAATCAGTGAAGACCACACACTTTGTTTCCACATCATATCGGCATTTTTAATACAGTCTGAAGCAGCAACATTTCCACCAGCCCAGCCCCCGGCGACACAAAGGATAGCGTCCAGTTTTTGCCCTTCCAGGATCCCGGTTACCTCAGCAGTGACGTCGGACGCCTGTGAGGTCCAATCGTCCCCAGGTTTGACGGCAACATTTGCATCTGCTTGTTCGTTGACATGAAGATCAATGTTCCCGACCCAGTAATTCAATGACTTGAAATGAGAAACACACGCTGCACCCAAGGCTCCCTTGCCTCCGTAAATCAACACTCGACCACTCGACATTATTAGCTCTATCGCTTTCTGATATCTGCTTGAAAAATGTAAAATAAATATAACAGCGGATCTTCATAGAGTGAGAGGAACCACAGGAGACAATAATTACAGAAGGAAACACACAAAAGATTTCTTCGTAATTCCCTAATAACAAAGAACAAACAAAAGCAGCACACTCGATCGCAGTGGGAATGGTAAACTGAATTTTCCTCCTGGAGACGTCCGAGATTTTTTACGAGTCTGAAGTTCCGTTCAGGATTTCAACTCCTGAGTCACCTTCGGGTTTTTCGTCTGACACAGATTTCGTAGGTAATCCGACATCCGCAATAGCATTGTATTGCCTGAAGAAAGCAACAGAACCATATATCTTGAAAAATTTTAAGAACAACAGTATTTTCAGGAAAAATACAATTTTTAGAAGAGGTACCGATTTAAATGGTTCGTAACATTCAATTTCGGAAAAAATGATTTCCGCATGAAAAAGAAGAACTTCCCCTATACTGATGAATGCTCGTGAAAGGCAAAAAAATTTAATAGGTACTTCCAGCGTTCGGCGGACATTCATTTTCAAATGAAAGCCTGTCGCTAAATTTAATCTTCCAAATCTAAAAGAAATAATCAAACGTACGAAAAAAACTTGAGTAATGGAGGAATCACGCAAGATTAATTTAAAAAATCATCATGGAAAATGAAGAGGGTAAAACGTAACGCAAAAATCAAAATACTGGGCTTTCATTTTCAAGCGGAGATAACGAGGCCGATTGTTTTATCGGGATTCAATTCAGAGTCGGGAGATTTGGCTTACAATTCACAAAGAAAATTTATATTTTTCAAGCTTACTCATTTCTGGAAACTCACGCTTTCAAATTGTCGTATTTACGCTGCAATTCTTCTAGTTCTCTCTTCAAATCATCCATCTCCTTCGCGCGAGGATTTTCTGTAACATCGAGGTTCATCTGACCCATGAAGAACCTGGCAAAAAAATGAAAATGATAGTCCATGCATGAAGCCCATACACCACTATTTTAAATCGATGGGCTCGGGATCGCTTAAAACTCACTGAAGTGCATCCTTCGGTCGATCCTCAGGATTCTGGGAATAAACTGCCTTAAGGCCCTGGTAAATAATCTTCAGTATTCCCGCTTCATCCAGGTATTGCCGAAATTCCTCTTGCTGCTGCTGCAAAGACATGTCGACAAACAGTGGAAGTCCAAGAACTCAAAAATCTCACGAAGTCCGAAAGTTATTAATTTCCACACTAATGCTGAAGTCACGAGAAATCACTGCAAAAAGAGATGAACACTTATAAGGGAAAATCAAACGCCTGGAGAAATTGAAGTCCGTATTAACAAAAAAAAAGTTGTATTGAAAACACCAAACAATAGGTCAGGAGCATCGTGCAGTCTGAACAGGTGATTGGAATTCAACGTAAGCCTCAAAAATCACGTATTCTACCAAGATAAACCCTATCACAATCAAATACTCGAAGTCCGCAAAACAACTCGCGAGCTCGATTCTGTGAAAATGTGAGATCCAATATATTCATCGTTTCTTTTTTGTCGTTCCATAATCCCTGGAGTGGCTGACACGACCAAGACTCTCAACAGGTTCCATGATATTTTTCTCAGATACATCCTTCAGCCACACTCTTTCAAGTCCTTGCAATTGTTTATATTCATAGTGCAACCCCATCCAAGAATGCAATCGCCTCACCCGCACCTGTTGGAGAGGAAACCCATACAATATTGACAGCATAATTACAGTACAGTTGAACCTTGATAACTCGAACCTCTCAAAGTCGAACGTCTCACTACGTCGAATTTTTTGCAGGTCCTCGACTCAATCCCTTAGCAAAAATGCATTAAAACTCGAAGCCTCCCACCCTCAAATCATAGCTAATATTCTGGAGGCCTTCTGGATAGAATTTTATAGATACAGGGAAGAGAAAAGCAGTAAGAATGTAACTTGATGTCTTTTGTAAGGCCGTGAAACACTGATTAGGCAAAGGAACTCTTCCCTCCAAGTTCAACATACTGTCAACTGATTTAAAAAGCAATTAAATACACAAAATATCACTGATTAAAATTTCCTGTACTTCCTCTTTCTTCCAAAGAAAAATGCTTGTTTCCCTAACTCGAAACATAACTAGATAGATTTTTTTCTAATCCCTGGAAGTTCCGACTTGAAGAGGTTCAACTGTAGTACCCTTGAACTTGAATTTGACACTTTCTTAAGGCTGTGAAAAACGGATATTATTGGTATTTACCCAGCTTTAATAATGACTAAAATGTCACTCATTAATATTCTCTGGCAGGGAAATACAGCAGTCATTGTTCGCAGTTAGATGGTAGCAGAACCGGGGTTTTGCAGGGTCTTGAAAGCTTTTCCATGAGAACTTACGATGAAATCCCTCGGTAAATTGTTGAAAGCCTCTCATAATCCCAGGAAGGACATGAGAAAATCACAGATCATATCACACAAGGGGAGCTCATTTTCAAGGCCCGTGGTGAATATCCGGGAGCTCACTTCCGTAACAGTGTTTCGCCTGTGGATTCCGATACAAATTCTGGTGTTGCACGCTTTCACTGCTAGTTCGGCATTTTGCCAAGCACAGCTCGAAGTGATCCGTCACTGAGGCGAATAACAAATTCTGATGCTCTGGCAGCTTCGTTAAAATTGCTTGCAATATTGATTTCTAAAAATTATAAAAACGCATTAGCACATTGTTCAAGATTTAAAAGCAAAACCCGCTTACTTTGCCGGGATCCAAGCAGCATGACACGCAATGCTCATAGATTTTGCAACAGTGGTTGGAGAGACAAGATTCGCAAACATAACGAGACGTCGTGGGAATCCCGCGGTCACAACAACCCGTTGGCAGGACTTCATCCCGCTTGCAAACAAAACCTGGTGTAATGAGTTTAAAATTGTATTCCCTGATCCCGTATGCAGGAAAGAGGCGAAAGCCCAGGGATTTTCAGGAGTTCACGAGGGGTTTCTCAAAATGTATCACGAATCACTTACACATCGTCATCGCAGTTCGCATTAAAAAGGCATATCTACTTTTTTAATCTGCCTTCGTTCGTTGAATATAAAATAATCTCCAATTCCTCCCAAATGATTATGAAGACATGAATTTACAGTTAATCTGCGTGCGCCAGGAGAACTTTCCGATACTTTCTCGGAGGTCAAAAAGCAAACATGAACACACACTAAAAAGAAAAACCGCTCCAGGACAAGGCACATCCGGTTTCATACCCTTGCAACTTAAAATGTTTCAAGTCTTTTAACTAGTAGGACTTCTGCTAAACCTCTCGCGTGCATTGTAGCGATTCCCGAACTTCGGACAAACTTTGTTCGCCCACAACGAGGATGTCGGACTCGGCGAGTCAAGATTTTGAAAATCATTCATGAACTTAAATTGAAATTTTAATTCAATCTTAAAATGTGGAGAAACAATGAAAAAGCTAAAGCTCAATCATGAAAAATGTGCATCGTATAAAACACATGAGTGAATGAAACGCTAGAGGGGAAATTCAAAAGAGAGAGCAAGCGTAATGAAAGCCGCACCAATGCACCAAGAATAAAAAAATTTATTGTAATTGCAAAGGTAATTAAATGAACTACAATTTGAAATTTTCCGATGCTTCAGCTTTACTTTTTCAAAGATATTTGGATGCTGGAGATTTTTTCAAGGCTTTCCACATTTACAGAGCAAAGAGCAACATTTCGGACCTCAACTATACGTCCGGATGTCAAAAAGTGTTTTTTACATAATCTCCGGAACTTGAATTTTTCTGACACGCGCGTTTTCCAATATCGGAGAACCACTACACAGTACAGTACTGTCCTCTACTTCCTTTCCAACAACAGGGGAGGCGGAATATGATCTAACCTCGATCATCCGCGATCAACTGCAAGCCCTGCACTGAATTTCTGCACGGGGCCGAGGAGCTTTTTGCAACAGCAGTTTTGGGCAACGCTTCCTCGGGATTTTCCCCGCCTTGCAAGTGGCGCAGAGTGTCGTTGCTCGTCGGGTCGGCATCCAACGGCGGTGCAACTTCCACCCGGTCATCATCCGGGCTGCGCCAAGGGAAATTCCCGACACCGCCGCCGTCTTTCTGCCACTTGGGAACGACACTGAGTTCCTCGGAATTGTCGTCGATCAAACCCATTGAACGAGACTAGACATGCAAACCATACCGAAAGGGTTGAAAATATTTCAGAGATACTGTACTGTATTCGACGATAATCGAGAGGGCATTGAACAAAACTTTCCTAATACAGGTACTGTACAGCATATTCGTCTGATGAATTCCATCCCATTTAGACTACAGAGGCCAATGGTTTGATAAAAAATAAGCAATACCAGCTTTTCGGTAAATATTGTAATTTAATTCGATCAATTCCAAAATTGATTGGCGTCGGAATACCGAACTACAAGAGCGGTTATAAGTTTTTCTAAAAACCCTATGCACACAAAATTGTGCCCGTGACAGGGAAAAAAGTATTAATATTCCTGATTCAGACAACTCAGCTTTTTGAAACCATAGTCTAATAAACGAGATGTGTCTTACAGAACTCGAATCGTTTCATAATACATACTTTACAATCCTTTCGCCTAACCTAGAGTGACTGTCTCCCCAGTTCGAAAGGATAAACAAAATGGGAGTTCAATTTTCAATTGGCACTGACTAGCTTCAAAGTACCCCGTAAAAAGCTCCTAATCAAGGTCACACATCCAGTACTTTATTTGCCAAGAAAATACTTGGATTTTTATATTCCTTGACTTGGCCCTTGAAGATTTTCGGCTGCTTGCAAATGTAATCAGAGGTTTTGGGATGCTTCTCTCCACATTTTAAAAGAAGACGGACTTTTTATGTACAAGTAACCAACAAAACTGATTCATCAAGATTTATCAACTTGAGAAGCAGATAAAAAGATGTGGAAATTATTTCGCATATAATTTACAAGTACAGGTATTTGACACATGTAACCAGAATACAGTACTTCGAGAACACTCGGGCATCTCAATTTAAAGCTTTCAATTGTTTTCCTAAAATAAAGCAGTAGTCATCAACTTACAATAAATGCATATTAACTAAAAAAAATTCTTTTAAAAAAATTCAGAGCTGCACTTGACAGTAAATGGAATTTTTCCTGGTGCCTCTCGCAATTGCATAATTCAAGATCAGAACTTTTCTCAGCCCACGAAAATATTTGAGCGTAAAATATGGTACATTCACAAACCATGACAATACAGAGTTTCGAGAGAAAAAAATGTTCGCGGTTGGGATTGAAAAATGACTGATAACAGCGCGGATTACAGAACAGAAGTAGGACCAACTCACCCCATAATGCAGGCTGATCAGGAAATAGGACAACGAAAAGACGAAGATAAGTCCCAGAACGAGGCGCTTGCGAATGATCCGCAACACCGACGACAGCCACAAATAGCACAAAGAATGCGGCTGTTGTGTCTGTACTTGGGTTTGTGGAAGCCCAACCCACACAGAATCACTTCCTCCGAAGTAGGGTGTGCAAACCTTGCGCCTAAGAAGGTATAAAGTGCTTTGCGCTTGTCGCCTACGTAACTTGGAGTAAAAGTGCGAAGCTTGGCGCAGCTCTACGTGAAGTTTCGATGAACTTTATTTAATAAAAACGCATGTAAGACATCACTCAGTATAAGAAAATTTTCGAAAAACATTCATAACGCGTTTCTTATTTCCATCCGTAAGAGAAAAACCTGGTAATCTGCCATTCAAAAATCTGAAAAATTTAAAAGTACGCATCCAAATATTTTACTCGCTGATTTTATTAATCAACAGCGTTCAAGATTTCGAGAATTACGATAAAACGTAACCGTTCTATTTAAGCAAATAAAAAGAATCCCATGATTGCTTCAATTTTTCATCCCCTCAAAAGTTGACCGACATGTCCAAAAATTAATGCGAGGATTGCTCCAGTTGGACGCGACCTGTTATTTTTAGAGTACGTCTGATTTTAAAAATAATCATGACATAACCATCATGTTTATAAGTTTCTGAGATTTTATTTTTTATTTTCAAGAAAAATTTTAAATTCACTGCATAACTGAAAATTTTCCAGTTACAGCCCGAACTATCCACCCATGTCACAGGGTCTAAAAGTGTGACGCCAGAAAAAATTAATCTTCGGTTGCTTAACGCATCATCTTTTCCACACTTCAGATAAGTTAAAACAACAGCAAAATTATTTTTCAGCTACCCTAAAAAATTTCTAGCACCCTGCGACATGGGTGGAGATATTTGGTTGTAATTTGAAAGTTTTCAGTTAATATGCAGTAAGTTGAAAAATTTTCTTAAAAGATAAGAAATAAATCCCAGAACTTCAGAACATCATGATTTGTATCATGGTTTCTTTTTTACAATCGCACCTTAAAGCGATTGTAAAATATTCGCGGTCGCTCCCAAGTAGGACAACCATCGTACATCAATACTACAGAGCCGCCCAAATACGTTATAATTTTAACGTTCTATTTATGCCCCTTTACTGACAAAACATCGACATAAAAAACAGCGAAAGATTCACACACAAGATATTATTAAAATCCTTTTTTTCGCGATTCAAAATCAGAAGAGTGCGCCTTACATTCGCGAAAATACCCCAGTATTTGAAACCAAATATATATCAGATGCCTTCATTAGGTTGTACGTTTTTCGATGGCAGGATGAAAATAGGATTATTTTGCTTTTGTTTGCTTCCGAAAGGTTTGAAAAGTACAAGCAACCGTTCGTGTGCTTAGGTATAAGTCGTCGCTGCTTAGGCTTGGAGTTTTTGGGGACGAGCTTCCGCTACGTCACTGAGAGTACTTCGTACCAAACGCTCTGAACACAACACACACCGCAGAACTACTCGCATTCGAAACTCAGTAGAGAAGACACGAGGGGGGTTTTTCAAATTACTCCTCGGAATTACCGGTATTCTCGACCGGACTTCTCCAGTCGAAGAACTTAGTCAAAGACAATTTCTCCTGCGATTCCCCAGCTTTCTGGCGGTGTTTTCGTCTGCGCTTCTTGGACGCCTGCGGAAGCAATAAGCAACACCCCGATTTGAAACCAAGAGCAAGCGTTCACCGGTGGACTGTCGCGACCGACCAGCCAACGAATCGCTGATCGGATAAATTGGAAGACTTTTTTCTTTGTGAAATTTGTTGGCCACGAAAGAAATACCAATATTCCTGCCACCACATGCGGACGTTCAAAAAAAAGCAAACTCAACAATTCAATATTTTTTGCAAAAGAAAATTCCCGTAATAACACACTTGTTCCGCCACTATAAATCATTTGATTGCACATAAATTCGCGTTTGTGATAGCGTTGACACGCAACAGCCCGACAGACCCTCGAATTTCAAGCGAACACGAACAATAATTTGCGTGACTCATCTGCTTTCATGAGCAATCTAATGAACAAGCGAATACTTCATTATCGACTTATTTTTTTTAAGTTTACTGTGAAATAATTCTTTAAAAGGGCGGTAACTTCCTCTCAACTTACAATCGGAAATTATTGTAATGACATAGAATTATAAACAACCAACGCCAGAAAATGTAGTCATACAGGAAGACAAAGGCAAAGAAGCAGCAGTTTACAGATGCGGTTTTATGTGGAGCCAGATGTAAGCAGTAACAGAAAAGTACCACAAAAAACGCAAGAAACGAAATTGCGAAAGTATTTCCGTCATTGCTCTAGGACACGAGCTCAAGGCAGAACAGGGCTAATAGCAAAAACTAATCGCCCGAGAAGAGCTTAACAAGGGAATTGCTGCACAAATCCGAACCCGAGCCAAAGCAACAGGTCTTCGGCACGCAAATTCTTGAATATTCCTCCCCATGACAACAAGATTGCGGACAGCGGCAGCAACTACAGCAACCCAGTCGACGACGCTTCCTATTCACAGAATTTCCAGATTTTGTTTTCTTCAAATACAAGTTTGGATAGCCTTCAACTATTGGGGAATATTAAGTTTTGAAGAAGAAAAACTCTTTGAATAACTGAGCTAATTAACTTGAGCCGAAGCTTCTTCCCATGGGAAAATTTGAACTTCAATTCACAACGTGTTCGGCACGCACATCAAACCAGATTTTAGTTATTATACAAATTCAAATTTAAAATGAAGACACAGCAATATAGTACTGTACTCGGATACACTTTAGCTAATAGATTTGTAAGATTTTCTTTAATTACACGCCAGATTGAAGCATCTACTGGCTCAACAACTTACATTACAGAAAACTTTACGTGCAGCATAACCGAATCAAAAAATTGCTAGGATCATAACACTTTTTCCTCCAGGTCACGAGGTGCATTACCAACTTCGATCGTTTCTTGATTTCGAATTGGTTGAAAGAACATTAGAAAAGTAGTCAGGAAATTACCACATATTCATCTTCGGAAATAACAATCTCTAACCATTATAAGAGAAAAAAGATGACAAAATATTATAAAAACCCTCGTATTAATGCATTAGAACACGAAATAATCAAAGTTCCAACAGAAATTTATGCATCTATTGCAAAAAAATAAACCTGACATCCCTAACTTTTATTCCGTTGTATTCATTTCAAATACAAAGAGGAAATTATTGCACTTGAAAGACTAAACCACAATGAAAAGGCTCATCTATATAGGTGCGTGTTTAACTCTTCTGACTTCCTTCTTTTTTTCGTCGGCTCAGCTGTAAATCGTACCAAATCAGCTGGAATCCCTAACTGACCTCTCAAATCGCCTATTCCAACAGTCACGACGGCATCTATCTCCCATCATTCCTCGTTCTTCTTCCACGCCGATGACAAAAACACCCACGCGAGACTCTTTCCGAGTCCGTCGCGCGTTTTCTACTTTCGCGGATAACCACTGAACCAAAGCCTCATTTACATTTTCCACCGGGAACTGAAATACGCCGACACAGTCGACATTTGCAGGCAAATCAGCCGGCGTTAAGGCATCCTGCGATGATAATTCTGCACGCTGCGGGAGGTCAAGTTCATCAAGTTGCGTGGCACCCGGAGCTGCAAGGCTGTCTTGTTCCGTGACGCGAGCCGTTAAGTTGTCGGTATTCTCGCTATCATCCGCATCAACCGCCGCGGGAGTCACATTACACTACAACAAAAAGCCACCACCAACATGCCACCGACGACAAAAAATACATGCCTACACGACAGGAACCCAATAGAGGTGTCTCATGATCATTTCGCTGCCTTTCGAAGTTAAAACATTCATCATAGTTTTACATTTCAACCGACAACAAACGCAAAACTATTCCGCTCTTTGTCTAGAACAAAGTTACACATTTGATGAAGAAGCCATAGAAAGCAAATTGACCCATTATTTCATGAACCTTTGCTTTTTAGATTCGTCCTGCCGGCCAAAAAAAAACCACAAGATTAGAAAAAAAATTACAAAAAATAGCTGACGCGTGTATTCGACGCCTTGAATTCCTTCCGTATTTTTGCAAGCCAACATCTCGATGTAAAATATATTCTATCCAAAATGGTTGTTCTATGTTCCATGAAAATCATTCAAATATTTTCATCGAAGAAATAAAATTCAACTGATTCGGCCTAATTCAAGGATTGAACTGTTCCCTATAAGTCGGCGTCGTGGGAATCAGTCGCAAGATCTGACTTCCTCAACACAAATCATACTCTAGCTTCTTCCCATGGCATCGAGGACTGATGATTGATCATTTTTCGCAACTTTTGAAGTGTTCTGCACCCAGAAATTGTCGCTAACGCTCACGACAAATATTATTTGGGAAGATTTTCAGCGCGCGAAAATAATTTCAACCGATATAAATGCATTCGCGAGTGCAATCCTCATGGATGTTAAAATGCAGGTCAGTGCAAACGGTTAATGTTCAGAACAAAAATAATGCCTCCACCACGCTTGGTTTACAAATCTACAAGAACAACCCAACCATACAACGATCGCTTCCTATCACCGCAAAACGTCCCTGAACGACCATTCAAACTAAACTAAATGAGGAAAGGAATATGCACAATCCGACAGTCCGACGCGAGCCGCGAAAACGTGCGACCCACGCGCGAAATGCGAAGAAATCAGGTGCTTAATTGGCACTGAAGACGCGATCGCAAAGCCAAATCGTAGCAGAGCGAAGGCCTACGTTGCGAAGCTCAGGAAAGAAAGCTCAGAGACTTTTTCCATATGCGTACTGAGGAAGACGAAAGCTTGTCGGGCGGGATGTGGCCCGCATCGCCGAGTGACTGCAGCACGACTCGGCCAGACGGTCGAATAGTGATCCACGTCACGCTTCCGTGGTGAAGATTCATTCGAAGCCAACCCTCCGGCGGAAACTGCAATGCCCTGCACGAAGGATCGACGGCAGAAGAAACAAGAGTTATTGTTTCGTTCACCGCAAAAGAATCTTCATAATGAACACAGGCCTTCGCCGTGTTCCTCCAAAAAAAGCTAATAACTTATTTTGAGAAAGCATCATTTCAATAAGAATACAGTGAGTTCCCGCACAACGAAAAATACGCAGAACAAAAAATTTCAGGGAAACAGTTACCGTACATTGAGAAATTACTGTATTTCACAAACGAAATGTTTGGCCCAAAAGTACGCGAATTTCAACAAGTTTTGTCCTAAAGCTAATTATTTTTTTTTCAAAAACCAGAAAAGCGAGAAAAGAAAGCATAGATGTACACCTTAATTATTGTCTTCGCAATTTAAGAAATTCAGAGAGTTAAAGGCGAGAGCTGTAGGGATCACTTCACTTTCATGCTAAACAATATTAAATTAACAATTGCCTGCAGAAAATATATTAATTTCATGTTTAATCTGGTCTTTGTATTTGAAATGAATACAACGGAATAAAAGTTAGGGATGTTGAAATCAATCAAATCAAATTTACTGAAATCTCGAGGAAAAATTCATTTCACAAAAAATTCTGCCCAACGAAACTCATCTACAAAAAGATTAGTTTCGATCTGCGGGGACCCCCTGCAGAGAGATAATTTTCTTGAATTAGGATTGGAAACTGAGTTGCTTTTTTCGGACCTGAGACGAGATTTCTGATATTTTTAGGGCAAACAAATGACAAAAATGAATCGAGCTATCGGAGTAACAGAAAGAGGAAATCCATTCGTCAGGTAAATCCCCTTTTAAATACAGCACGAGTCCTCGCGTAACCGAACTAATCCGCTCCTGGATAAGTTTTGCTATGTGTAACTTAAAGTTACAAAAACTATTAAAAAGCTATTTTTCTTAGTTTCAGCAACAAATTTTGAATGTAAATTGAGTAGTATACTCATGCATTGATCCCGGCTAGTTTGTGTTTTGGACTTCCTGAATTTCACAAATTTTGAAGAGCAGAAGGGGCAAATTTATGTGTCAAAAAAACATTAAACGCCCTTCTCCTGAGATTTTCTTCAACTTTTTTTCAACTCCGAATTTTTATCGAAAAACTTTCAGAAATTCGGGCATTTTAGAGCCACGAAATTTAGTCAAGTGGAACGTTTTCGTTGCACGAGTTACTTCCCTCTCCCCCAGAAAAATTGCGTTCGTGGATTACGTTATAGCACGGACATTTCGATACGTGGGGACTACCTAAGAAAAAAAAGGAACCACTAACAAATGACAAATGAGTAGGAGCTCTTTCTTTCGTCAAGGTATTTTAGAATAGGAACGAAACATAAATCATTGATATTACTCCTCAACAAGCTATTCCATTGCTTCGACAGAAATTTACAAGATAAAAATACGGAGTGCATTCAAAAATGTGACCCAAGGCACAACTTGCCTGCAGACGAAATAACGTATCACGTTGGCGTGGCAAACAAGAATCTCGTAGGAATCTCCTTCTTGCGTTGGCTCGGCCCGGTGGAAATACTTACGAAACGCCGCCTCGATCCTCGCGCCGTCTTCAAAAAACTGCTGGATGTTTCAAACCACGCGTCACGTCCAACGAAAGAAATACAAGAAAGACAGGAAAGTGTAGGAAGGAGAAAAAAACAAGCAGAAGAAAAGTCAATATCGGCGAGAAATCCGATCCGGAAATTGTGTACAAGAGCGGAAACAGTAAACTTTTTCAACCAGAAGTCAACGAGACAGTTCATGCTCTTAGGGAACCGACATATGTTACTGTAAATCTGTAATCTCTTTTCTGAATCAAAAATATTGAAAGCTCTTTGACATGCAACGAAAGACAGGACGGAGAGGTTGAATGAATAAATTAATATACGTTCAAGAACTCGACATTAAAAGAAGGGTAAAAAAAATTTGACTTGTTCATAATGTCTTTCTACAGTATTATAAAATTCGCCTGCAGAGAACGAATTGGTTTAATTTCAAAAGCATGCAAAAGTGGTTAGATCAAAAATTTTCTGAATAGCGACAGAATTCGAAAATTTGGAAGCATGCTTTATTCACGCGAATAAGTTTCATTCTCCCGATTTTAACTGAAAAATCTGATTTCCTCCTACAATTAATCGCATGGAAAACACAGATATTGCATTTTCCCTTTTAATAACTTGAATAGATCATTAAATTTTTGAACATATTTCTACAATAAAAGATCAGTTGAAAGGCTGACTTGAACTCCTATAAATGCAGAAGAGGGATAATTCAAAGTACAGACGATGAAGGGTCTGGCCACTTTTTCTCCAATTCAATGTTTTTAAGCTCTAACCGTAAATGCTATATTCTTCCGAGAGGTCAATTACACTTTCAGTTAAAATGATGAGCATTTTCGCGTATTTATCCATTATGAATCATTTGCAATTCCCAGAATCGATGACTTCTTGCATTCGCGAAAATACGATGCCGCATGAAAACCGAAACAGGCAGATCTTCATGCGACAGCGTGAAATACAGAACAGAAATGAGAGTTCTCTGTGCACATAGGAAAATACTGATGCCCAGAGGCGGCCAAAATGGCACGCAAATAATTGCAACAAGAGAGCTCATCAACGACGTTGAAGGAAGATCAATGAAATCAATGCCTTACATGCTTTTCCGGTCGCCAATGCCCCACTGGAGGCTCAGGCGGGATCGGGGCACCTTCTCGCAATAAATCAGACTCGCGCACGTCCAATTCATTGCCCATTTGCATCTCTTTCATGATCAATTCCGCCGTTTCCAAGGCACGTTTCATTGTGGACCGAACGAGAAGTTTGTAGGGAAGGTTCAGAGCTCGCAGCCGAACACCGGTTAACGACGCTTGTTCGCGACCTGAAAAAATCGTTCTTATTTCTTTATTCGTTTTTATCGGATTATAATTGAGAATCACATACCCACGCTCACATAAAAACTTGGGATAATTTCGAAAATGCTACTTCCGAATGTAATGTACACTGTTGAAAAACCTTTTTGTTGCTGCAAGGCACAATCCTTTATTGGAAATTTATTCATGAAGTATGAGATTTACTCGAAATTTTACGGATTCCAGCATGAAGGCAATTGATGGAAGAAACAGGTCTGCTCTTCGATTAAAAAAAAATGCATACATTTAATTTTCTGTTTTTTTGAATACTGCGCTGTAAATTGAATTTCTGCATCATTATCGCAGAAAACGGTGAATTTGTACTTGAAATTATTTTTTGTGGTTTTTTTCTCGTAAAACAGACTCAGTGGTCTAGTAATTCTGTACAATATAATAAAAAAACCTTGTTTTGCCTACATTCCCCTCGATTTAGTGCCACCCTCGCTTACTACCACAAAATATGCCACTATAAATCATTGAAGTTTGACTGTATCACGAAATGAGCGTACAGTACTTCTCTTTCGAGGCGAAACTAGACATCATCTGAAAAAGTTCGTCGACAGTTACCGAAAAAAAAAATTATACGCTCACGTAAAAAATATTTTGGATATGGAAGTTCTTCAAAAACCCAATATATGTCCAATTAGAGCCGGTTTCTGAGTTCCTCAATCCACGACTGTCCATAATTTTCCCATATCGCAGAGAATGGAGAATAAAGATTCGACTAACCCAGCTCTGTGAGTCCACGTTCATGGTCTGCCTCGCCGTTGATGTTGTAGTGACCATGGCGAATCAAAAAAATATGTCGTGAAGCGTGAGGCGTCATTTTCTCGATATCGTTCCTTGGGCTGCCTGAATCTGCACCGGGATCCACATTATTGTTTGAATCAGTAACCGTGTTCTTTGGTTTGACGTAACTCGCTGGGTCGCGTCTGAAAATGCGCAAAGATATACTGTATTCGTCAAAATTAATTATAAAAAGAGCCTCTCTTCCTCGGTCAATTTCGCTTGTTCCCTACAGTTGAACGAGTTTTCAGCCTCATCCGAAAAATTATTCCGTAGACACTTGAAAAAATAGACATCGGTTAAAAAGACAGAATATTACGGTAATCGACGATATCAAATATTCATCTAATTTGAGAGTACACCCCGCAGACATTCAAGTTTATTTGATTTTTTCTTTACGTTGATCCTGCGCAGAATTGAAAATTGTCCTGAATACCAAAATACAGTCTCGAATCAGATTAGACTTTCGAGTGAACAAGAACAAAAAGGTTTAGTTTCACCAAGACAGGTGGAAATTACATGTGCGAGAGCCAATTTTCAAAATCAACAAGTACTGCGACTCGGAAAGTACCCAATACACTCGAACCTCCAACAGCAATTGGTTCAAACAGGGAAACATCGAAAAAAAAATCGGTGCCACAGATGCGTCTTCCTGCATAACGCTCCTCGTTGTGCTCAAAAATGAGAATATGTTGTTACTTAAAGCCAGCGAGTTTTACGAATAAAGAACGAATCTTACAAATACGGATAGAAAATTTCAATTAAATCTAAATTTGCTTTCACGAAATACATGTATGTATCTATCGAAGCGGAGTGCGCGAAAATCAATCCTCACCTGTCCCAATTTCGATCCCATTGCGGAGATCCTTGAAAGACACTCATCCATGCGCTCTCTCCCTGCAATTTTGTAAAGCATTAATACCATGAATTGAAATAAAGCGTTAAACAAAAATTTCAAAAATACATAAATAAAAATTAAAACACGAAAACAAGGAAACTACATTATCCGAAGTCGACGCAAGTAATTATTCAATAGTCAATTAAATAACGAGTTTCCCGAGTAGGAAACCCGGAAACCGGCAGCAATTAATTCAAAAGGAAATGGGTGTTTCTAGTTGCAACAAAAAAAGAAGGTTCTCTGATGATGTTGAAGATAAAAAAAAAAGACCCGAAGACAAAGTTTCTCTGCCAGTATTGAAACAAAAAAAAACGCGGCTCTTTCCCTCACAAACCTAACTTACCTGATCCGCCGTACATGAAAAAATCACATGGGTGAATAGTATTGGCTGTAAAAAATGGAGTCCAACGATATTCATTCAAGATATTTTCAGATTATGATTTAATCTGAATTCCAACACACGTCGGTGTCGGTGAAGTAGCTGTATGAGCTTTTCGGACAGAACGTGGCATTTTAAAATAATTGTTGCATTATCGAAAATGTCTTACTTTGGGTGTAGGACTTCGTACAAAGGGTGTACCGCAAAAAATAAACCCATATTAAGCTGTCCTGTCGCAACGATCTTCTGAGCAGTTCGAGTTACATATTGAAAAACGACACGTCGAAAGTACTTTTCGGTGATATGGCCAATCTAACAGTTTCATTTACGCATTGACCAGCATGCGCCTTTTTATTTTTAAAAAAGTTTCACCCCAGACAGAAAGTCGAAATGTGCTTCCTTACAAGTGCCAGAGGAATCCGTCCTCGTTACGCAAACCATAAACTGAGAAAAATGCGAGAAAATTATTTCCATTTTTCAGAGCAAAAAAATACTTCAGGGTTTCCGTCAAGTTAAATCAAAATCAAGCTGTTCCAATGGAATTCTTGACGAGGAGAAAAACAAAAAAAGGAATAATTACTTCGCCAGTGGCAGAAATCAGATTTCCCACCGGTTCTGCCTGTTCAAGTGGTCAATACAGGTATTTTATTTCGATGATGCTACTTCTGGCGGATTTCGCAGCTTAATCTCTTCTGCTTACAGTACAGAAAAAAGTTATTTGCATTACATAACCTAAGAAGTACTGTGCAACCGGAATCGAAGAAACCTTCGGAAAACCTTGAAAAACTTCAGGTCTCGGCGATTTGGCAGCATTCATGTCACCCCACAGCGAATTTCTCGCCACGGAAACAGGGTCGCGGAAAAATCCTCCCGAGCCAAACAATGGACTCGAATAGAAAAGGTCTCGTTCACCGACAGCAAGCGCATCTTCAGAAACTTCCCTCTCCACCATTGCCCAGACTTCACCCAACACCTTCACAATTTCGCGCGAATGATTTCAACCGTACACGCCGGAGTAACTCAGAGACCAATAATGGGTTTTCACTCATCCTCCTGAACTTGACGTGTGTCTCGTAACTCGAGCCGATTTCCGGACGCGATAAAATAAGTTAGTCACAGAAGAATTTGTCCTGGTAGAGAAAGAAGGCGCGAGAAAGGGACGAACAGGTTCAAAAGAATCATGGTTTTAACTTACAGTTACTCAAATGTTACCACGTTAACAACCGAGCGTGTCGATATTTAACGGAGGTGATCAGCATCGTCCCATGCATAGCAATTCGATGGTATGGGATTGAAAAAGACGCAAAAACTTTTGATAGTTGACGTAGAATATACACGATTAGGTTGAAGTCATCAAATCTCTATTTGCAACTTTTGAGGAAATTCGGAAACACGGGTAACCATATGCTTCAGGCCAACCTCGAAGTTTTAATTACATTTTCATCGCCAATACTTCGTAAACTTTCTTTTGGTTTTGAAATAGTTTCCAACGCCTTCATTCTAATCCTTTTCATTTAATATTATGTGTCTTCAAAAAATTGGCTGAGAATCCATCTTTAAGGGTGCAGGTATTAATTTGATGAATCGAAGATCGTGTAGGTGTGAATTCAGGAATTGTCCCGTTACGCACCACGCCAATGGATAAACTTTCAGAAAATTTAAAACAAACCACAGAGCATGATTAAAAGATCAGGATAACAGTTCTTGTAGATGAAACAATGGCATAAAAATGTACGGTTGCAAAAATAATACATGTCCTTGAACATTATAATCCGAAGTATGCCTCATTTTCAATGAATTGAGTCAATTCACGTATTTTTGTAGCACAAATTGTTCGGATAACATGACTAATAGATTATACTGTAGTTAGGTTGCATTTTTCCTTCAAGTCTATCGATAATCCCAGGGTTCAAGGTCCGTTGATACAGGACATTAGCGATAATTTCATCAATGAAAATTCTATTGACGGGTCACATATTCAGGATTAGCTAGTCAGATTAAAATTCCTTCATCTTACAAGTAGGAATGTTGCGAATTGCCTGAATAATTACATTTCCAGCTTGTTTCATGCACCGGTGGATGATTCAAATATAAATATTATATGCTCTCCATCACTACAATCCACTTGAGTATAGCAGGACTGCATTGTGTCGTTTTTCATCAATGCAATATTGTGCATCGACTAACGGCATTATGATTCAGTTTATCCATAAAATGTAAAAAATCATTGAATACAAGGAACCAATTGCAAATTTTTCCCCCTCGAAAAGTGTGTCTTATATTCAAGTAAATGCGGATACTAAATCTGACTCGATTCAATTAAAAATGTTGCCGCGTTCGCAGTTATCACGGATGTATTTCTACTCAACAACAATCCCACATTCGCACCCTATACTGTATATAATTTCAGGTCGTTGAATTGAAATCAACATGTCTCTTGATTTCACATAATTGTAGCGATTTCTCGGCGGTGATGACGTCAACAAGCGCCTCAACAAGGAGAAAAAAGCCTCCAGATCCTTACACAAAGGCAAGCATAAGAAAAAGAAAGGCTCCAAGACATCAGTCGACTTTGGAAAGGTCGGCTTGGATCCAGACGCAGACATTACCTCATTTGAGGCAGACACAGACGAAGGTGACGATGAGGAGGAGAGGACAGAGGAATCCACGGTTCGTGCTCAATCGCCGTTTCCACATTTCGCAGCGAAACTTCGTAGAAACCAGCGATTACAGTATTTTCGAGAGAGAAACGTTCAGCCGACTCAATGAAAACTGAAATTTCCTTTCTCGTCGACATGGACTAAATAACCAACATTTATGCTGACACACTACTCTTTCAATAGCTGACGAATACTGTACAGGTATAAAATTCAAAACCTGTCTGAACCCGTTCGAATAATACATCAAGCAGGGGAAATTTACTACGTTGGTTCAGCATGATCAGCAGAGGATGGGACCAGTTTTAAAAGTATCAAAAACAAAGAGTTTATACTTCCAGTAAGAGCATTTGCTCAATTTGGTAACTGCTAAACCCATTCAGAGCCGACCTGAAAAGGTTCCATTCCATTTAAAAATTCGGCTAAAAACTAATACAGTAGTTCCAACAACATCGTACAAACGTGGTCGGTAGCACGGAAGCTGCATTTTCTTCCGCCACTTTTCGACCGAGCTGAGACAATGGAGCGTCCAAACACGACGCGTTCAATAATGCCGCGTGGCAATTAAAGAATAACAGCACAAGTGAAAGAAATCGGAATTATTGAACCAGAAAATCAATACTGTAGTATTTTTACATGTGTAATCCCATATGAGATATTTACGAAAACAAAAGAGGATATCATAAGTGTCGTAGTACCCAAGCTCCAGAGTAAGAATCTGTCATTGTGAAAAAAGAAATAAATCTTGAAGCAAAGCTCTCCACTTGTTCGCCATTTGACGACAGCTTGAATATCTATCTATTGAATATCTCATATTTGGATACAACATCCAAATATCAGACGTCGATTATATTTAAACGTTGCTTTTAGATTTTCAACATTTTCATTTTTGATACAATACGCTGCATTGATGAACAATGAAATGACTAAGATCTGTACTTTGAAAGCTTAAAAATTCACAAAACATCATTTTTCTATCGGTCTCCCCAACAGTTAACGCTTAATGAGCAACATATAAAGTGTTCAGCAAATTATCGAATTTTACGTCCAAAAATCCTAAAAACTTATGTAGATTCCCGCGAATTCAACAAGATTTTTAAAAGGGAAATAAACTACTGACTGAATATCAACCCTTGCACTTCGTTCCATATTTGCATAGTCTTAACAATAGTGAGCTAGTTGGCCAAAGTCATTCGCAACTTGGTGACTTGGGTTACTGTTTTTGCTCTTGCTGTTTTCGGCACGTATTGTTCTTACATGCGCGGTTTCGAAAGCCTTTTTCTACCATGAGCCATTTTAAAAAGCGTCCACAATTGTCTGGTCAGGCTTTTCGACTTTCTGCACACACAAAAAAAAAAAAAAGATGAAACTGGGGTGACTTAGTGATCATCTTTCTAGGATTCGGTGGAGATAATCGACGGAAAACAGAACCAAATAGCGACTGCCGCCAACGTAGAGCTCAACCCTGAACAAACCCGCAAATCTTCCATTTTGCTGCTCAGAAGTCGCAAAGGAATCCTACGACGCCCGAAAAAACACATTTCCATTCCCCAAACGCCAGAAAAGCGGGATTCCAACAGTTTTTCTGGATTGCTAAATCGGTTTCTCTGGCGAGGACCCAAAAACATTGACGAGGACGTGAACCAAAGCCCCGACATCCGAGGGGTTACCTTCGGGGAGAATGAAATCAAGTACTTCACAACTAGTCGGGAATCGAGGGAGTACCGAAAAGGTATTTTCGGGAATCGCAAGCGGTTCCGGCGGAAAAAGCGACGGAGATCTTCCGACACAGTCGTCGCCGAAAATCGCGAACCGAAACCTTCCACGGATGAGGGACACGCAGTAGAAACACCTGAACCAGAAGTATCTCGTGCAAATGGGGAAGAACCAAGACTCGACAGACATGGGTCAGGGGGAGCACGACGGAAGCTGTCCAGAAGAATTCTGTCGTCAATTCTGCACAGCAGATTGTTCCAAAGAATGAGATTCTCCGTGGTTCCGAAACAAAAATAGTTTTAAGCGAACAGCAATATTCTACAGAGTGAATTTTAAAAATAAGGTGAATTTTAGCATAGCGACCTTATAATTCACCACCGTCCTCTTTCACCAGAACGAAGACTTACTCATTGAACAAACAATTGAAACATTCTGAAAGGCTGCTCGGGAAGAATCCCTGTGCGAATTTAAGCCGGTTTCCCTTGCGCACACGTCACCTTACTAATCCCCAGCTGGATTTTTAAAACCCTTTATCTTCTGTTGCCCCACTACGCTCGGCGGGTTGACATTCTATAAAAATGTATTTTGCAGTTGTTCTAGCTATTCGAAAAATTCAGTCCAGCACAATACTTATGATTATATTTATCGGTGAAATACGGTATCCTCTTAATGATGAGTTACAGCTGAAGCACAAATACTGTATTTCCAAATTAAAACAAGTTCTTTTGAAAATTGCATTAATTATTATATCTAATGTTTTAAGCAAGATGGATATTTGAAACACAGCACAGAAAGTTTCAAGAAATTTCTCTATTTTCGCTTATGATCTCCAAAATCTTGCAGATTTCTTGACGGTTTTTAGTGTGTAATTTCGAAAAAGTGTTCAGCATAGCTTAAATCCTCAACTGAAAACTGGTGATGTTAAATGATGATCCCGGTTGAAGCTTAAACAGGAGATGAACTGACATTAAATTGGTCTGATTATTTTTCAACAAGTAGCAAACATTATTTCCTTCAAGTGGTGAACATGGAGACCGCGTCCGCCCCATCCATTTCCGTTCAGCATGATCCTGTTACTGTACAGTCTAAAAGAGAAGTTCTTTTAAAACCATCAATGCACGTCATCAGCAGGAACTGGTTGTTTAAGATAGGTGGGGGGAAAAGATTTTCGAAAAACTTCCAGTCACATGAGTAAAAAAAATTTTTACACTTGCACGTACAGCGATTTCGAATCGACGGACATTGTAATCGTCGCCCGCTTTGGACCATCCGTCTGAAAAAAATTGTTTCCCATAGAATCATTATCCCTCATTGGAAAACCTTCAGTAATCCCGAGTATCCACTTATCAAGCGATCGATATTCCATAAATGGACTTCACGAACCTAAGTGGGACTTCGCGGGTAATCTGGTATGAGAAGCTTTCGGAAAACTACGCGTTAAGACCTATTCGCACTCATCCTTTGGGACTAAAAGGCCCAGAATTCAACTATCCCGAAGACAGTACCATAATAATTGGCGAACAATATCATCCCACTTTTCTGAGAATCGCGAACGAATACGGATCAACAGAGACGACCGAATATCGACGTGAACAGGATGTTTATCTTTTCGGTGAAAGACGCGCAGCTGGGTATAGCTTCAAATTGATCCAACCAGAACTTGTTAATTTTCCGATCTGAAGAATATAAATTACACTGAAGTCTTCTTCCAATTTTAGATATTGAAATACAGCACTTCCTAAAACTCATAACCATACACCAATACTGTAAATCTCAGATAAATTTCGAAATCGGGGACATCTTTTAAGAAATGAGGAAGGTCATTTTCGCACCTCTTCCGTGATCTCGATCGTTTCCTCCTTGCTACTGAACTTTTTTTTCATTACAATTCAGAGAGAATCCAGAGAGGAATTGCACACAACGTCCGGCGTTCAAAAATCCTTGGATTGCATACGAAAAAAATTATCTCGAGAAGAATGGATACACTAACAAAAAGAATATCATGAGGAAAGTTCGCGAATACATCGACGGGACTTTAAAGATCCTTCAGGCGAAAACACGAGCGAAACGAAGAAAACCTCAAGCTACATCAGCCGGCAATTATGCAACTGATCTCCGCAATGCAGTATGATTTCCCAAGGATACTCCCAAGAAAAAATTTTGCCGGACCACTAACAATTCTTCTCCGCCACTATATCAACGATAACAACCTTTAGAACAAGGAGTTCTTTCCATGCATTCTTTCCTTGAAATTAAACGCGAAATACTATCTACTCCTCGTCGAAAGGATGCATCAGCGATTAAGATTTATAAGCGTCACAACAATATCAACGCTGTAGCGAACATGGACGAGGATGAAAACTACGGCTGGATTCCGAAATCATGGGTTCATGGCTTTAATTGGAATTGAGTAGAATTACATACCACAGGGTTATAAGCCACGCGACGACGGAATGGTTCTTGTTGATCATCAGAATCTTGCATGGTCCACATTACCGCAGCGTAAGCGGCGGCAGACCCAGCAGCTCCGCCGAGGCCAAGCATGCCGAAGCCAAGTTTGGTGATCCGCCCCAAACGACTTCGCATTCTGCTCAATAACGCGGAACTTTACTTCCGTACAACACTTCACCACCGGTGATTCGATGGAAAAACAAATCGATAAAAGTCGAAATCTGCGAGGAAAAATGAAGCTCGATAACAGCCCCCCATCTCCAACCAAGGGTCTGCGCCCGAAGTGAGAGTCACGTTAACAACTCCGATTCGTATGCGATCATAGTCAACACTGTACCAGAGGAATCAGGGATGAACATCTCACAGTTCCATCAAGCTCACCACGAAATGCAACAAGACTGCAAACGGGCACTGTTCTCATTCACCGAACACACTCATGCAATCAACGTTTCTATCAAATTCCTCTGAGGGTTTTCCATCAAGGGCACATGAAATGAAAGTATAATACTTTTAAACCTGACGGTTACATTTGCTCTGTTCCTTCTCAAACGAAATTACGGCACGACACGCAACTGCCGAAAGGCGTGTTCAGAAGACATCGAATCTTCACTGTGAAGAAGCTACCAACTTCAGAGAGAATTATAAGAGTACGCCGTTCTTCCCAAAATCAATGCATCAGCCGCGGGACGACTTAAGCTATCCGGCTTTAAAACGTGTCCGTTTGTACAGGTTATGGAGTGCATTCCATTGCTCTTTCAGTAAAGCCTTCATATGCTGCATTGTATTGCAAGAAATCAATCGCTTATTGGTATGTATATACACACTCATGCTCATATATATATATATATACAAATCCATGCTTATTTTTGGGCTGGGAAATCATGGATTTACTTTAGAAAACAAATCCAAGATTTTCCTGCCAAAAAATCATAGAATTATTTTCTAAGATACAAATCAATGATTTTTTTTGGGCTGGAAAATCATCAATTTGTTTTCTAAAACCAAATCATGGTTTTCGCACCAAAAAATCGTCAATTTCTTTAAGAATTGGGAGCAATTCTGGAAAACATTTACAGCATTTCTCCTGATTCTAAAACAAATGGATGATTTTCCCACACACAAGTATCAATTTATTTTGTAAAACCAATGAATAGTTATTTTGGGTGAGTGCAATATGCTACAACACTTTTCCTGCTTATTGTTCCCACCCAGAAATAAACATCCATTGGTTTTAGAAAACAAATGCATGATTTCCCTGCTCAAAAAATCTTTGATTCCAGCTTTCTAAAACAATTGAATATTGATGTTTTGTGTTTATAGTATTGGTTGAATGAATGAAATATGTTGAATATTAAATTTTATGCATCAGATTAGTTATGACTTATTGAGGGAAATCCCAAAGAGTGTAGAGGTTTCAAGGGTCATGTGGGAAAATATGTTTATATATATACAGTACAGTATATATGTTGGCACACCACCACGCCCTGTAGCACCCCCCTCTAGCTGAGCTGTGAGCTAGCAGCTAACTCATGCTCCGGCGAGAAGTCCGTCCACCGCAGGTGCCCAAGTCGAAGGGTTGGAGTGGGATGTGGTAGCGACACCTACATGACAGACTTTGACATAAAAAGTTTCTGCTTCCTCCTTACCTCGCTGGGTGCTGGATGGCAACAGGAGAATGGAAATGTGTCATGCTGTAACATTCGGTGAGGCCCCATCTCGCCGAAGCAGAACTGCACGCTGTCAGAACTCCTCACCCCTGTGCCCCCCACCCCCTCATGCCCTGCACCCAACACTCTCTCTCCTATGGTTGTGCATGAGTGACTTCAAGAATCAGGACTACACACCCCTTATGCGGGAAGTGGTGTAGCAAGTGTACACGCAAACCTTGCTTTTTAAATTCCTTACTTCACAGCATTTAGTCTTTGAAGGGTGGTCTCGCTACTCAAACGCTCAAGTGAGTCAAGTCTGTCTCACTAGTGTGCGGAAAGAAGAGAGTGATGAGAATAGGGAGTGAGGGGATGGGGGTGCCGTGGCGTGGACATGTTTTGCTGCTGATGAGGGCGGCAGTAAAATATGGCTGCACCCAGTGAGGTTCAGTCGGGCGGTGGATGCACCGTGGAATGCGTAACCTCAAGGTCTCCACTTACCAACTTATGATTGAAAATGTTCCTCAGGCCTCTTCACAATACAGTACTGTATTCAAAGATTCCCCCTGTCGTTTGTTATTACTGCCCCTTCTATTTCTTGGACGTCCAACTGCTTATTGGGTGAACGTTTGATAATGAGTGTGAGTTCCTTTGAAAGTGTTGGAAATTTGTGCGCGTGCGCGTGTGATGGATTATCGAGGAAGTTCGGCCGTCTTATCAGAATTTCATGTCGTTGCAAGGGCGGATTTATACGAGCGCCATTACTTTCAGTTTAATCTTTCTTCATTATCCGGCAAACTCTTGTCCTGAATTTTGTACAGACATGAGCGAAGGTGGTTTGCAACCCAACTCCAATCCCTTTCTTACCCTTTTCGGTTCTGGAAACGCCGTTGAAAATGCCGACGGTGTGCGGATCCCGTCGACCACTACAATTTCGAAGTGTGACTCGCAAAACGATGATTTGACTTTGGCTCAATCGGTAGCCAGGATGACACCGGATGAGTGCAAGATGAATGACTTCTTAGAGTCGGTATTCTTGTTCTCAATTTCGAAAATGAGTAGGGAAGGTCAGCATTTCCAAGATGATAACCTCAAGGTTCGATTGGAGCAAGATACACAATCCCCTCTGACTGTGGAGTCAATCGAAGTTCTGTTGTTCGATCGGCTGCTGATGTCAGAGGAACAATTGAATCGGTGAGAATTCGAATGAGATGGCTTTTAGGATTGCGCGACCTTTGAGATGAGCTGAAGCTCAGAAATGGTGGGTCTTGTAGAAATCTCGAGTACATTGGATTTGCTTTTCTTAGGTCTCTGGTGTCCGCAAGGGGAGAAGAAATTGCTTCGCCATCAGCTCCGTGTGCTGCTAGTGAGAAGAAGGCCTTGATATACCTTACGAGGTGCTTTCAGCGTCTTCAAGAGCAACGTCGAGGAGCTCCATTTTTGTCGGACGACGACTTGAACCGACTAGAAGTCATGATATGCCAAAGTGTAGTCACGGGATTCGAAGAAGATGGAATATACCCGGGACACGACGTAGAAACCCAGTTTGCTGACATGGTGCACGAGTATTTCAAAGAAATGTGGTTCATTCATTTCGCAAACTTACTGTATGATCGCGCCGTCAACGCCGCTAACGATGACACGTTAGCGAAGAAGATTTGGTCTGCACCCCTTAGTAAATTGAGAAAAATCTGCGCCGAAGCAACTTCAAGTAACATTCCATCAAAGCTGGTATTTGACTTACTCCATTTCTACGCAAGTGACGCAAAATTCGGGAAAATGCTGATTTCATTCAGCACACCAAGAATTCAAGGCAGTCAGCAGGACCCACATCTTGGTCGACGCTACATGCAAACTTTATTTGGTTCCATTCTATCACTCTCCGTCTTACCTCGACAAGAAATAGGTCCCTACGAATTTTTCCAAGAGCCAAGTTCTATGCACTTGTCAACACTATCATCTGTTGAGCGAACTGTTCACACAGATTTACAGAGCCTCCAAGCTAACCTCCATGATGTATGGAAAAAACTCCTGACTTGCTCAAAAGAAACTCGCGGGATGCTGTTATCTTGGATTGGTGATTGCCTTCTGGCAAACAAGGGAAGAAATTCCATTGCGTACCTGCAGCCGACATCTTTTGTTGGTGTCCAGTTTGTTTCTGACGGTTTTATGTTGAACTTGGGCGCCATATTGCTTCAGTTATGTGTGCCTTTTGTGAGGTACTTCCCAAATCCTAAAATAAGGAAAGCAAATCCCTGGTACTGTTACTTCAGTGGGGCAGAGAAAGACTCCTGCGATAAGTATGGAATCCACGCATACAGACTGAACCAGGAAACGCCTCTAGTATCAAGTGATGACACCTTAAAGGAAAGAATTTGTGAGGGAGAGTTTTCGTTTATTTCCGATTGCTTCTTCTTGACCCACATGGCGATGAGTCTGGGGTTTTCCGTCTGCTGGGACAAGTACACGAAAATGTTTCACGACTTAGGACGCTTGCAGCATGTGCATCGCGAAGCAAGAGACTCGAATTCCCAAGATCAAGCTCGTATTCGGATGTTGAAGGAACATATTGAGCGAGGAATGACGAGATACTTGTCTCTAAGGGCGGCGTTGCTGGAGCCACGTTGCTTGGAGAACATGATGGATTTTGCTATATCAACTTCTTATTGGCTTGTGCAAATAGCTACGGGCGACGTAAAAATAAACCCCGAAGGCCTCGTGGATGCTGCTCTCACGATTACGGACCACGATATTGAGTTTCCTCTTCCAGATGTAGTTGATGAAGTTCTGCATTCAATTCCTGAATTTGTGGCAAACAACATTATCGACTTGCTGATCTGTATTCGAAGGTATGCTTATTTCCTTTTGAAGAATGTTTCTATGATTGACGAAAACGGTTCCAGAATGACCGAAATTTGATACTAATATTTGCCATTTCTTTTTTCTCTGAAAAAGTGGAAATGTAAGAACAGTAATGATTCACTGTTCCACCACCTCTTTTACAACGTCAGGCAAAATTTCCCCCAAGCTCGTATCTGACCAAAGTCGAATGAAACTGAAGGGTCGTCGTTATTTTAACACTTGTTTATTAGAAGTATACTCAAATAAGAGGTCCAGGGAAGAAGCAATTCCCCGTGAAATATTCATTTTGCAGTTTTTGATAAAAAAAAGTTTGAAGAAAAAGTCCGGAAAATTTTAGTGTTCTCGGTTCCTCTTTTTGAGTTGGATTGACTAAGAACCAGTTTTTTAATCGTTCTATGTGAACACAAAATCGCGATCTTCGAGTAGATCTCATTCCTTTAATAAAATAAAACGGGACTCCTGAAAAAGTTCGACCTGTTTTTAATTTAGGTCGGATTCAAGGTCTAATTTTGCTGGTCGATCTCTGGAAGAAATTCTGACCTTCGTTCTCGTTTTCATGGGATCGCCGAAGCGAATGAAGAACCCGCACTTCCGAGCAAAGCTAGCAGAATGTCTAGAAGCTTTGCTACCCATTAATGACGACAAAAGTTTTGGTCCCGATCAAGGTGGGGGCTACTTTCCGATGCTGACGAGGGCAGCGTTGTTCACATCACATCCTCACATCAGACAGCTTGTCCCTTGTCTGTTGAATGTCTTTGTTTCCATCGAAGTAACCGGCCAGTCCGTTGCCTTCGAAGAAAAGTTCAATTATCGGAAGCCCATGTACACGATCATGAAGTTTGCGTGGGAAAAAGATGTGCACAAGAACGTTTTCGAATCTATGGCTCGGGAAACATTGCACAACATGGAAAACGTTGAACCGCCGTTGCTGCTGCGCTTTCTTAATTTACTCATGAACGACGCTATATTCTTGTTGGACGAAGCTCTGAATTACATGTCAAACTTGAAGACAATGCTACATGCTAGAGAAGCTGGGGAATGGGATTCTCTGGCTCCAGCCGCGCGAGCAGAAAACGAGTCCAATGTGTCGCATGTCGGGTTGCTTGCAAGATTCCACAACGTCATGGGACGAGCGACAATCAATGTATTATCCATGATCAATGAAAGTGATGCTGTGAGACGAGTTTTCTGTCATCCTACGCTTGTGGACAGGATTGCAGCTATGCTCAACTATTTTCTTCTGCATCTCGTCGGTCCGAAAAAATCTAACTTCAAGGTAAATAATATTTCTTGTTGCAGTATAATCCGAACATATTTCTCAAGTAAAATAAAATTTTCATCTGCTAGTTTTTGGATTGAATCACTTTCTCTGAAATAAGCTATGCTATTTCTTAGGTGAAGGATATGAACGAATATGAATTTAAGCCTGCGGAAATCGTCACCGAAATCTGCAAATTGTATCTGAAATTTTCGGACTCGACCGAAATCCACGCCGCGGTGGCTGATGATGGAAGATCGTACAGTGATGATCTCTTTAAACAAGCTGAAGACGTTTTAAGTGAGTACATTTGATCTCCTCTTCGTACGAAAACATACTCGCTTCTTTTTTTTTCGTAAATGAAGTGAAATATTGTACTCCAAAATAATTGTGCCTCGGGACATTTTTTGGAATTTTATGACGCAGGATTTCACTTGTGACATTAGGCATGACTACTTTTCGTTTTAAAATCGATTTCATCAGCAAAATGCTTTCGACATCTTCGGGTTTACCCCGATCTTTTTTTTTTTTTTTTGTTCAGCCAAACCAGAAGTTGATGCCTCTTAGGATGCCTAAATTATTCCATTTATTCAAAAATTAATGCTAACGAAACTGTGTGTTCCGGGGACGTCTCGAACATAAATCTCTGGTTCGGGGCGTGTATGTTGAAAAAATAAAGGAATGTCTTTTATTTTCGGATTCCATCCGTTTTTTTGAGATCCCAACTTTTTTCATTTCCTGCAGTAAAAATCCATCGCATGGATCTAGTTCCGGGCATCCAATCTCTGTCTCAGAAGATTCGCGCGCGAAGCGCAGAGAAAAAAATTGAAGACGAGCTAGTCGCCGATGCTCCGGAAGAGTTCCTGGATCCGATAATGTCTACTTTAATGAAGGACCCTGTCAGACTTCCCACATCCGGAAATATTGTCGATAGGCCCACAATAGCGCGACATCTTCTTAGCGATCAGTCAGATCCTTTCAACAGGCAGCCCTTGACCATGGACATTGTGGAGCCGGTCAATGATCTCCGCGAAAGAATCAAAGTATGGATAAATCAAAGGCTGAGTCAGCGTTGCGATGAAAATTAGGAATCATCCTCGGCTGGTTCGGTTCCAATTCACTATTTTCCGACTCACGACAAAATGATGACCTCATCGATGTATAATCAACAGAGTTTATTGGTCACGGCTGGGTTGTGTTGGTGCACGTGAATTCTCGCCTTTTTGTGTGCCGAACTCGATTTAACGTGGAGGAAATCTCGTAATTCGCACCATTTTTACCGAATTTTCCTGCCTTTTTTTTTGAAAAAAAAGAAGCATGGATTAAACTCGCGTGCGCTCGCTGGTGGGATGACGCTCTCTTAACCATTTATGTGTATTTTTGTACACGAACTACAGAATATCTTGATTTTCGCGATTATTTCGGGTTATTTTCTTGTGGAAGTCTTACTTCTTGTCTCGTTCGCTTTTCGTGCATCCTTGCGTCTCTAATTAAAAACTGCAGAAGCAGTGAATTGTAAACATTTTGATAGTAAAATGTTTTTGACATTCCTGCGTAAATTGGCTGCGTAGGATGTCATGAAAGTTGCAAAAAGTAAAGAAGTAGTCATCCGCTTCTCGATTGTCTACGTTGGGAAATGCTAATCATTTTTCTTTTTTTTTTAAATCATCTGGAGTGGTGTACAATTACTTCCCTGTGCAATTGAGTCGGTCAAAAGTTTTTTGTAACGTGGTGGTGTTTTTTTCTTGTCGGAATCTGTCGAAAGTTAATGTCATGATTCCTTAGTTGAAGTTTTTTCAAAGATGGGATTCGTTAGTCAACCTGTGACGTGGCTGTGTATTTCCCGTGCGTGGAAAAACTCCGGAATGCGGAACATACATTTTTCTTGTACACTTACGCAAGTAATCTTTTTGAGCTGTTCGTTTCCCTCTTACGTTTAATGTATCAATGATTTGTCTCAAAATGGGTGAATTCCACGAAATTTGTAGTTACCTCAGCGTCAATGGTTATTTAAATTTTCAATTTTTTTTCGTAGTGAATGCGCTTGAAGTGTCAGTGAAATTACTGTGTTTCGGTTGATGCGCCTCCTTTCTTACCGATCGGGAATTTTAATTTTCTTCTTGATTCCGGGATTTTGTTTCGAATGTAGGGATATTGTGGTGAAGAAGGAAACAGGTTATCTTTTTAAAAAAATTGAATTGTTTCAGGATTAACTGTTTTGCGAGTTTTTAAAAATTTTTCCTGATATTCTTTATTTTTTGGCAGGTTTTGTTGTTTTTTTTAGTCGGGATTGCATTCTTTTCTAGGAAAATTCATGTGAGTAGCTCGATTTTCTCGTCGCGAGTATTCCGCTCCCGATGTAGTGAAAAATCTACTGTTCTTCAACCTGGAATATAGTAAGATTTAGATTTATAAGGATTATAAACTAAAATTAGTGCCCGTTATAATGTTCTTCCAGTTTTCTGAACGACGGAAAAGGTCCTGTCGATTTCGTCGCGATGGTAGGTAATGTTACTTTTCTTCACTCCCAAAAATACTCGTGGTAGGTATATTTTCTAAGCGTTTTCTATGGAATGGATCATAATGCTTTCGATTAATTATCTGAATTTTCTCGAGATAACTTTTTAAAGATTTTCTCATTTAGTTGTCCTAAATTGTATTTCTTTCGGATTTCGACAAGAAATGTGCAGAACTTATCGAAAGGTGTGCATTTTTGCCAAGTTTTTACTAGGATGAAGATTGCGGATCTCCTCAGGTATCTGTTTTGTTAGACGGTGAATTTGTCCTTAAGTTCATTCATTTTCTTTTTTCATGCAGTTTCGGAAGATCGAGGTGGATTTTTTTCTTCTTTATTTTTATGTTCTGTTCCTGACCGACGATGGATTTTTCGGATTCAGTCGCGTGTGTGAGTAAATCATTTATTTTTATTTTTTTATTTCACATGATGATTTTATATGCTTGACACCTCTTGATCTCTGAAGTTGATTTTGATGTTTCTTCTTTTGCTTGTCTGAATTTTCTTGATAACCTAACCCTCACGATAATCGTTTGATTTTTTCTGAAGAGGATTTTTATTACTTTTGTAGACGAGAAGATTGTTCTTCGTCAGTTTCTCATGGGATGCACTGTATATACAGGACCCGATGAAGAAACCCATCAAGTTCCTTGACAATGGATAATATCTTGTGGATTTATGTAAGTCATGCACTGTTCTTCTCCATTTCATTGAAATTCCATGTGATGAGTTTTAATATTTGACACCTCTTGTCTGAAGTTCATCGTGATGCTTCCTTTTAACGATCTGAATATTCTTGTGGATTTATGTAAGTCATGCACTGGTCTTCTCCATTTCATTGAAATTCCATGTGATGAGTTTTAATATTTGACACCTCTTGTCTGAAGTTCATCGTGATGCTTCCTTTTAACGATCTGAATATTCTTGGCCGATTCATTGTTCAAGATTTTCTTGAAGGATTTTCCCAAAAAAGTTGACGTTTTTGTCTTTGAAGGCCGAAGTACCTGGTAGAAGTGGAGGTCTTTCCCACCGAATCAGCAATCCTATCTGGTGTGGAGATCCAAAGGACGTCGGAATTTTTCTTTAATTTTGGTGTTCCTTTCTGACCGACGGGAAATTTCATGGCGATTTAGGAACGTGCGTAAGTTTTGCAAAGCTCTTGTTCTCCGAAATTCCACGTGATGAATTTATATTTTTGACACCTCTTGATCTCTGAAGTTGATGTTGATGTTTTTATGGACTCTCTGAATTTACTTCATATATTTAATCTTTTCTATACAGTATTTGTAAACTTATTTATAAATTCAGCATTTTTCCGCAGACGAGATTATCTTCATGAACGAGGTTATAAGGCTTTGTCGCTGCGCGTTGGAGACCCCCCTTTTTTCACGGAGAGATCACAGAATGTATTCAGGTACGTTCGACGTCGATGATTTTTGTGTTCTGAAAATATTTTTATAATACAAAATTATTACTTTCTCCCTGAAGTTGTGGAAATGGAATTCCGGAATGTACGGTCGATTTATTTTGGCCCCTGAATGAAGGGAGAATTTCTGGAAGAATTTTGTAAGTCCCGTTTGATTTCTTCCGGTGAAATTCCATGTGTTGAGGTTCAAGATTTGACACCTCTTGTCTGAATTTGATTTTGATGTTTCCTTCTGTGTCCTGATTTTTTTTAGCATTCGACTTACATAATTTTCTTAGATCTTCGCTGATGAATTTATTTTATGTTTTTAGTTGAGGAAAACTTGAGTTGAATCAGAGGCGGTGCTGTTTTTAGGATTCTTCGAGCAGTTTTGGGCGCCTGTCGATTTCTTCTCATTCCGGTCCATTTCTGTTGTGGTTACTGGATAGTAGGAATTCAATTCCGCATGGTAAGTTGCTCTTCACTCATCTTTCCTTGTGATTCCACGTGATGAATTTTGATTTTTGACACCTCTTGTCTGACATTCATATTGATGTTTGCTTATGTTCTCTGAATTTTTCGAGTAAATATAGTGTAACAGTAACGATTTCTTTGAAGTTTTGGTGAGCTTTGATTTTCAATTTACAGGTGAAAATACTTCCACGAAGAAAAATGAATTGGTACTCTTTTTTCATCCGGTTGCTGGAAGCATCGTTTCGTGAGATGACGATTCCAATCGCTGAGATGGCCTACTGAGTAAAGGTCAGCTACACAATGATCCACGCTGGAATTCAAATCGGCATTGTAAGCATGCATTTTTTCTGAAAGATCTGTCTCGAATCCGAATCGACCAAGTGATTGGCACACCCGGATTCGGCATGAAGTGATAGCCATTTCTCTTTCAGATCATTGAACGAATTTTTCTGTAGCAGCTGAACATGTTTGGATGTCAAAGTCAGAATGAATGCAAATTATCTTGAGGTACGCATTCTTCGATTTTTTTTTGCGCTTTATTGTTGGATATGATGATTAAAATTTTCTCTATGTTCAAGACATATGAGTGTATTGATTAGTCTTTCTGATCAAATTAAATCATGATTGGAAAACCAAGAATGTTCAATTTGTTGCTAATCCGATATTACTCTCCACAGGATACCCTGCAGCTGGTTTGTTCCGTGTGCCCGAAGGACGGATTAAATATGTGGGTACTTCTACCCTCATAAATTCCGCGAACGATGAAAGAGAGCTACAGTACTTGGAGAAATATTGGTTCGTTAAAAAAATTCATGGTTGTGGAAACTGTAAAAAGTAATCAGTTCCTCAAAGGGTAGATCGAAAGACGATTTTTTTCAAGCTTGATGGAGAACGTTTTTAACAACAGGGCTACTTTGTGCAGCAATAAGGCATAGCTCGACAAGCTAGAAACAAAGATTTAAAACAATACATCGTCTAAGAAAAAAGACGTTACGTCAGTTGGGAGCTAAAACACGGTGAAATTTCCCTAAATTATGTTCTTATGGAGAACCCCAGTTTAGTGCCAACTCACTTAAAGCCGCAAAAAATCTGTCTTGTTTAAAAAAATTGGGTAGAAATTTTAGTAATCCAGGCATTTTTGCAAAAATTGTTGTCCCGATGAAACACGTCGTTATTCCGTATCGAGCTGTTCGATCTTTGTTTCTAAATTTTGTTATGTAGCAGATTCTTTTTTCTGCAATGCAGTCAACCCTCGATTTTGTGCCACCTTTGCATAGTGCCACAAATTTCCCTAAATTATGTTCTTATGGAGAACCCCAGTTTAGTGCCAACTCACTTAAAGCCGCAAAAAATCTGTCTTGTTTAAAAAAATTGGGTAGAAATTTTAGTAATCCAGGCATTTTTGTGCCACAAATTTCCCTAAATTATGTTCTTATGGAGAACCCCAGTTTAGTGCCAACTCACTTAAAGCCGCAAAAAATCTGTCTTGTTTAAAAAAATTGGGTAGAAATTTTAGTAATCCAGGCATTTTTCCAAGGACATCATTGGATTATGAGAATTTTGACTGAGAATCACATCCCCATGCTGACATAAAACTCACAATAAATGTGAAGAATCTATTTCTGAATTGATGATGAATCAAGAATTCGTGATGCTAAAGCAGTTGAACGCATGATTAGTCTTTCTGAAAGAGGAAAACTATCGCATTGAAAGACTTACAAAATTAAAATCTGATTTTATCGGATTACTATATTTCTATTTTTTAGGTGAAATCCTCGTTTTTGAATGGTAGAAATTTTAGTAATCCAGGCATTTTTCCAAGGACATCATTGGATTATGAGAATTTTGACTGAGAATCACATCCCCATGCTGACATAAAACTCACAATAAATGTGAAGAATCTATTTCTGAATTTACATCATTGAAGAAATATTTCTTGGCGCATGTTACCCTTCTTAATTGAAATTTTAAAAAATGGAAGCTTTTGCTGAAACATTGGTGATTCCTTCATGATGGTATTGCATATAAAACTATCTCAACTGTGCACAAAATATTGAAAACAGCTGTGATCTTTTACTAGACATCAAATGTTTAAAACTACAGTCAAGCCCCATTAAGACGCCCCCCGATAAACCGCCACCCTTGGCAACTGATGAGATTTTGAATGAAACAAATCTCCTCAATTCTAAATGCCATAGAAAACCTCAATACGACGCCAATCGCCATCTGCCAGCATTAATCCTAATTTTAAAATTTGAATAAATTTATGTAAGAAAAATTAATTTTCTGAAGGAGTAATTCATTAATCACAGCAATGCTCTTCAGAAATTTACTGGAGTTTATAGTAAACTTTTATTTCTATTACTCATGTACAGTATTTTTTATCAAATGATTTAAACCTTTAAACCAAAAAAGAAATATTGGTTGAACCGCCAACCCCTTTAAACCAACAGAGTTGCTCTGGACAAATTGAGGCTTCTTAATTGTGGGTTTGAGTGTTGTTACATTCTGCCTTGATACATATTCTGTTATAAAATATGAAAAAAGTACCTGTGAGATTCGAAAATTATTAATTTTTGCTTTTTCTCTTTTGAAACACACTGATTGGCCTGAAAATTCTGTAAGCAAGCTTGTTTTTCCTATAATGGAACCCTTAAGCGGACCTCTCTCCTGTACAATACCCTTCCATTTAGTGCCACAAAATGTGCCAGGACAAACAGTGGCTCTACAAATGTATTGTTGGCCCTTTTTTTTAGAAGAATATCGGCGGGAATCAAGCGTCAAAGGCTGTCGTGTACCGTTCTTTTGCCCGTGCGCAACTTCATTTGGGTAAGAAACTGTTCTATCTTCGTCTAAAATTTCTGAATTGATGATGAATCAAGAATTTGTGATGCTAAAGCGTCAACTTGCGTACTAATCAGAAAGACTTTCTCCTTTTGATAGCGTAACTTTCTGAATGTTTTAATTTTAGACTAAAATAGCCTAATGATATAAAGATAAAAAATCCACTTTAGGAGCAAAAACTTTCCATCATCGAAAGCCGTCTGGCATCCTCTATTATGCGACTTTGTTTACCATTCTTTTACCCAAGACACAAAATAAACGCTAAATACTAAACTACTTGGTTTTTAAGCACTACGTTTAACGTCAACTTGCATAACTAATCAGAAAGACTAATGCTTTTACATTCGGGCATCTTACATTCTTGGAGGTCGGTTTTAATGTTTTTCTTTTTCTTTCAGGCTTATAGAAGAAAATTATCTCGGAAAATCCGTGGTACCGTCAGACTCGTCCTTCAAAGGATTTTTCCTGGTCGAATCAGATTATAGTCGCGAACTAAACGACGCACCGGAGAGGCACATTTGTTGTGACTCGGCTGGCCTCCTCGCACGGATAACCAATGCGCTCATAAGCAACACTAACGTATCATGCCCGTGAATCCACGTTGCCAAACGGGCGCGATGAAAGTGGATGTGCGTCACGATTGTTGCGGCAACTTGGCCGCTGCATGCGGAGTGGAGCATCTGCTGTAGCAGTGAATAGCAAAAGCAACGCGCTGTTCATTTACTCCACCTTAAAAGATATATTCACTTCAGTTTCCAAACAGCTGATTTCTTGCTCGCATGGGGCGGCAGTTCATGTTCTGGCTTCATTTCTCGTACGATATTGTTACGTGAGGCGGCGGCGGCGATCGGAAAGAAAGTGTCGAGGGATTTTTTGTTATTTGATCAAAGAGCAGGAGTACATTATGGAATCGTGTTCTTTTGTGACAAACCTTTCTATTCCTCTTTTTAATGCTTTTCAGATACGGTTGTTTTTCGAATCTTCATACAGCAAGGAGTTTGTCTCCTGCAAACAACGATTGATCCGAGTATACGTTGACGCGGCAGCTTTGCAATGGCAAGTTTTTTTGGGTTTCAGCTCCACTTCTCATTGTATAATGGAATATTCCGATTCAGGGGAGAGTACACTTGCAGCTTTGTGCTCAGTTACACAACGTAGCAAAGATATTCTTGGATTCGCCAGATTTCCGTTGGCATTTGAAGGTAATGTATGCCCACGAAATGTTGCATTCATCAGCTTCAAACGATTTTTTTTTCGCATTTCTAAGGTGAAATGCTCCACATGTGGCGACGAATCGAAGCGCTTTATGTACTTCTCCATTGTTGATGAAGTTGAGCTCAAAACTACGAAAGGATCTGCGAATTTCGTTCACTTTTGCAAGTTCTGTAAACGAGAGAACTTTCTAAGTAAATTTTATCCTAATTGATTAATAGCCCTTTAGATTTTGATTTCCCATTTTTCCTCGCAGGTATCATCCCGAGTAGTGTTATGTCGTACAATGCAGAAGACAGCGATGCTTTCAAAACTATTGTCGTGTTCTTTTGTGGAGGTTTGGAGCCGATTGATTTCGAACCTGGCGTGAGTTTTGTTTTAGAATTTCGCCGGTTTCATTCATATGTATCCAATTCGACATCAGTTCGGATTCGTAGTCGAAACCGGTGGGAGTGGTGCCAGGTTTGAAGGTGTCGATCTATCCGACGGCAATTGGGAAAATCAAGATGAATTATCTTCCGATGCTGTTTCGATCTCCAATCTGGAATTCCGATTGATCAAGAAGTGATTTAGTGTCTGATACTCCACATCTGGCATTCCGACGGTTTTCGTTCATTAGCACTGCTCTTCTACTTGTGACAATTAGGATAGATGATGTTTTCATCCTTTGCTGGGTGAAGTACTGTACGCTTTTTTCTGTAGACAAAATTTTTATTTTTCAAGAACATCAGTTATGTCGTGATGCCCTTGGTTGTTTTCTTGTTTATGTCGAGGTCTTCCAGTTGTGTTTTTTGTCTGAAATGGCCATTTTTTGTGATGAAGACTTTAAGCTTTATGAACCTGATGTCAGAGACACCCAGGACTTCTGGAGTTGTGTTACACTCGTTTTTGCGCATGTGATACGAAATGGAGTCGGGAGTTTTCGCAAGATGAATTTTGGCTGGTACGGTAGTTCAGCAGTTCCAAATCTGCCATTGATGCTATTTGATTCCTGGTCACTCTGAAACGTTACCGTGAATTTGATCCCGCGAGTTATGCTGGTTTGTATACGTTTTCATCAGCGTTGATGTTCTGGGGTTCTTTTTTTCGCGGTCAATTTCACGCTGAGCTTGGGAGTTGGGTGCGAATGTATGAACAACTCGCTTAACAGTGTTGGCTTGAGATTCTGTTCACTGTTCAAATTTCTTGGCTATATCCATTGATGATAGCTATATCTTTTGACTTGCTCAGTTTTCAAATCTGACGATATTTTTTGTTCATCGAGGAAGTCTTTTAGAACTTCGGATGAAAACTGTCTCATGAATGATGGTGAGTTTCCCACGTGTTCCATATTTCGTACAAGATGTCATTTTTCACATTGCAGGTGAAGATTGGACTTCAGATTAAGGCACGTTTGGAGTACGTATCCAAGTTGAATATTCAAGATGAGGCATATCTTTGGGTTTTCAAGGTAAGACATGCAGTTCAACAGTGTGCGTTCAGCTTTTCACTGAGCACAATTTTCAGGCGAAATGCACAAATTGTGGGGAGGTCACAAAACATATGGATTTTACGAGGTTCGACGAAGAAGCGTTATCTGGTGGACGTGGGCATGCTATGCTACATTACAAGTGCAAATTGTGTTCTCGCGAGAACCACATGAGTAAGAATTTAAACGAGCAACATTATTGACGTAAAGATTCTGGTAGAACGAAAATTTTGAACTAGGTTTACTGCCCCTAACACTTCAGCCTTACTACGGTATTGAGAGCGAGAACTTCAAAACAATTGCAGAATTTGACTGCCGCGGTCTGGAACTTGTCGATTTTATCCCAACGGTGAGAAAATTTTTTTCACCTATTAGTTGAAAATTTCAGAATAATTTGTACTTATCTTTTGCAGAAAGGCTGGCGTGTTGAAGTAGAAAATTCTCACAAAAAATTTGATGACGTTGATCTCGCCGAAACAGAATGGATGGATTACGATGATTGTGCAAAAGTTAGTGTTGGTGTTTATGAGCTTGAGCATCATTTCGTGAAGATTCCTTAACATGTCGTTATTGTCATGTCCGACCGTCCCATTTGCGACTAACTGAAAATAAATAATGACGCAGTGCGAAAAAATTTCATCTATTCATCGCTCATTGTATAATAATTCGCACAAGTCGTACATCAAAGCACATTTTGGAAATACATCATGTTTCAGTGAACGGCTTTTTAACCTTCCTGCAATAATCAGGTTTTCTAAATTTAAAAATTTTATGAATTAATTTTCTTGAGGGGGCGTGAATAGAAAATTTGTCAACAGTTCACTCATCACTTTTTCACATATATTATACAGTATATCAAATCGCCGGAACAATAGTTCAAGCTTCATTCTTTGATAATCAACAAGATCGCGACAACCCTTGTTTATTTTTTAGCACAAAGCGTCAAGATAAATCGATTCTTATCTTGTCCTACCAAGTCTCAGAGAAAGATTCCTAAATGGTCCCAATAAGCAGTCTGCAAGTTCCAGAAACTGTTACGGTCGTTGGCCTAGGAAGACATTTCACATAATGCCGTAAAAATTGCTACCAGCGGAAGGCAATACATAGAACTGTCAAGAATCGGAGGGCTTTCGGTAGAAAAATTGTAGTTCTGAAGCGCACTGATACAACCAAGGCAATTATCTTTGGAAACCGTTCAAGCCACGACCGGCAGACCCCATTCCTCCAAAGTTTTCTCAATGGGTGCAAATATCACCATCAATACTAGAACAGCCGTAAATCCAAGGTTCACGATTGTGTGAAAAGCGAGCATGAATTTTCTCAAACAGCTTCCCTGCAAGTTAGATTGAATACAGTGATATTGGTGTTCTTGTTAGGCACGGGTTTAGAAGTACTTACTGGCCCATCTTGCTTGGTTTGTGGGCAGTAGTAATTCTGCCCGACACCCATCTCTTTCATGGGGTAAACATCAGACGAATTGTCTCTCCGCTTATTGTCAGGTACGCATTACGTCCGCAGTGTTAACTGAGGATCCTATAGGGGTCTGGGGGAACTTTAACATCCGCAGTTTTACAGAGGATCCTATAGGGGTGTGGGGGACCTTTAATATGGACATCCTGTAACGTGTGTCTGTGGCCACAGAAATTTCCGGAGAATTCATAAGACGTCCTTGACCTGTGTCTGTGGCCTATATATCCCTCTTGACTTTTCCCCCTACCTCCCTCCCACAGAGCCCCCAGAGAGGCCTGCAGAAGGCTGGTGTTTCCCGCTTTTTCAATTTTAAAAATTTGCCAAAAATTGAATTCTTGATATAACTTAGATTTTTTTCTATTGTACAAGGCGCCATACAATTCGCAACATTTCCTTTTTTAAACTTCCAAAAATTTTGACAATTGAGTGAGAAACAATGAAAAATGCAAAACATTTTTTTTTTAAATGTACAAAAAATGGGAAAAAAGATTTTACTTTTTGTATTTGATCTATTTTAATTATCAGCATATGTCAATTTAAAAAAATTTGTAAAACATCTGTGTGCATAAACCTGACAAATATTTTTGAAATTTAATGAAAGTTGAATAAGTTACAATGAGCTAAACTGAAAATTTTGAATTCCTGTTTCTGTTTTCTTCCTCTTATACTAATTTCAAAAATTTGCCAAAATTTCAATTTGCATCTAAATTTCAAATTTCTTCAGATGTTGCAAGGGCATTAATGTTTCCTAAATTTTCCCTTTAAAGTTTTGAAAAACCTCCAAAATTGGCCAAGTGTCAATCAAAAATGCAAAACCTTTTTCAAAAACCGGGGATAAATTGGGATAAACTACTTTTACATATTTGAAATTTAAATTTTCCATTTTAAACTTTGCTCATTGAAGAAATGTGTAAATTCAAAGAGTACAAAAATTACTTGAAATTTTTAACATCAGTGCGCATGTTACCCTGATTTTTTTTATTTGATGGAAACAAAAAAGTTAACATGGGGGAAACTGAAAATTGGGGAAATTTTTGACTGAAGTTTTTAATTTTTTCATTCTCTAATTACAAAAATTTATTGATAAAATACTTTGTAATGAGCCAAACTTCATGACATATGCAGTGAAAAAATAGCAAAATTTGGTTAATTTGAAACAATTTTTAAAATTAAGTTGAATTCAAAAACAGGGAAATTTTCAAAAGTTCTACATGTAGTTGATTTCATCAACAAATCATGAAACATTTTCTATAAAAACAAAAATCATCCAAGCCCCCTGGCCCATTAAACTTTGCAAGGCTCACAAACATAGACAAACTGTTGAAACTATTTTAAAGGGCAGTTTGTAGTGTAGTGTAGGGTAGGTTGTAGTGTAGGGTTGGGTAGGTTGTAGTTTAGGGTATGGTAGTTTTCAGTTATACAATTTCATTAATTTTACCAACCATTGCCCAGGTGTGGCTGGGCACCCCCAGCTTGTTACTAAGAAAAGAAAAGATTTACACTGGGTGCACTAGGGTAGGGTAGTTTGTAGCATAGGGTAGGTTGTAGTGTAGGGTTGGGTAGTTTGTAGTATAGTGTAGGGAAGGTTGTAGTGTAGGGTTGGGTAGGTTGTAGTTTAGGGTATGGTACTTTTTAGTTATACAATTTCATTAATTTTACCAACCATTAGTAGTGTAGGGTAGGTTGTAGTTTAGGGAATGGTACTTTTTAGTTATACAATTTCATTAATTTTACCAACCATTGCCCAGGTGTGGCTGGGCACCACCAGAAAAGAAAAGATTTCACTGCGGACGCTCTACCACTAGTGGATTTATGTAAGTCATGCACTGTTCTTCTCCATTTCATTGAAATTCCATGTGATGAGTTTTAATATTTGACACCTCTTGTCTGAAGTTCATCGTGATGCTTCCTTTTAACGATCTGAATATTCTTGGCCGATTCATTGTTCAAGATTTTCTTGAAGGATTTTCCCAAAAAAGTTGACGTTTTTGTCTTTGAAGGCCGAAGTACCTGGTAGAAGTGGAGGTCTTTCCCACCGAATCAGCAATCCTATCTGGTGTGGAGATCCAAAGGACGTCGGAATTTTTCTTTAATTTTGGTGTTCCTTTCTGACCGACGGGAAATTTCATGGCGATTTAGGAACGTGCGTAAGTTTTGCAAAGCTCTTGTTCTCCGAAATTCCACGTGATGAATTTATATTTTTGACACCTCTTGATCTCTGAAGTTGATGTTGATGTTTTTATGGACTCTCTGAATTTACTTCATATATTTAATCTTTTCTATACAGTATTTGTAAACTTATTTATAAATTCAGCATTTTTCCGCAGACGAGATTATCTTCATGAACGAGGTTGTAAGGCTTTGTCGCTGCGCGTTGGAGACCCCCCTTTTTTCACGGAGAGATCACAGAATTTATTCAGGTACGTTCGACGTCGATGATTTTTGTGTTCTGAAAATATTTTTATAATACAAAATTATTACTTTCTCCCTGAAGTTGTGGAAATGGAATTCCGGAATGTACGGTCGATTTATTTTGGCCCCTGAATGAAGGGAGAATTTCTGGAAGAATTTTGTAAGTCCCGTTTGATTTCTTCCGGTGAAATTCCATGTGTTGAGCTTCAAGATTTGACACCTCTTGTCTGAATTTGATTTTGATGTTTCCTTCTGTGTCCTGATTTTTTTTG